TGAACATCCCTGGTGAAGTGCTCAGCGGTCTCTGGAGAGTCCAGATGCCCCTGTAGCTTCTAAAAGCTCAAAGTCTGGCTTTCCTGAACTTTCCCAAAGCCCGCAGCTCTGCGCTAACCCACCTGTCCTGGGAAGCAGAGTGTCTGCCTCAGGGGATGTTATTGTGTAAGCAGCTGCTGTGAGTGACTTCCTTGAGAGTCCAGGACTGCTCACCAGCCCTGGGCATCACCAATTCTTGACAGAAAATGAGTTTGGAGACAGCCATAGAGGATTAGAATCAAACCTGAAAATCAAATAATAATTCTTAAACACGTCAAAAGAATAGCATGACATTAGAAAGCAGAATCCTTTGATACATTCTGAGTGGTAGATTTGGGGGAAAACTGGAAAATTGGTTGATTCCTCTAGCTTTGCCCCCAGTGGTGCTCACTCACCAGGACACAGCTAGTCAGACAGGAGCAGGCTCCTTCTGCCCTCCTCACGGCCTGTGCACTGTTCTTGAACCTCTGCTGATGTTCTACATTTGTTTCTCAATCATAAAAGTATTTTTTTTTTTTTTACTGTGCACAACATATGTGGCATACAGCTTACCATTTTAATCGGTTTAAAGTGGTGTGAAGCACATTCACAAGTTGTTTAACTAGCACTTCCTGCACACACACACACACACACACACACACACACACACACGTTTTGTCAAAAGATAAAATGGGAAGATACAGCCCAAGTTTAAAGAGTTTTAGGACATTGGTTATGCTAAAACTGGTGCTCCGAGTTGTGTAAGTATTTGATATAATGTTCTGTAGTAGAAACCTTTCATTCACTTTTCTTTGTGGGAAGGTTTTAAATAAAAACAAACAAGCAAAAATAAAACCCCAGATGTAATTTATCAGATATGAGTGTAGAACTCTCCATGTTTTCTATTTCTTCTTATATAAGATTTAGAATTTTTTTCTTGAACTATCCATTTTATTTAAGTTGTTGAATTTATTGGCATGAGATTACTCATAATATCTTGTGATCCTATTTATATCTTGGGATCCTCATAATGTTTTCTCTTTTATTCATGGTATTGGTATTCTATGTTTTCTCTCTTCCGTTGTTAATCAATTAATCTTGCAATTAAGCTGCCACACGTAACACCGGTATTCCTTACCCAATCGCTAGTTTGAACTCTGCCACTCGTCTTTCCATCCAGGTTCTTGTGGAAGCATCTGAGAAAGCAACAGAAGATGTCTCAAATGCTTGAGCCCCTTTCACTCCTGTGGGATCCTAGGCTAGAGTTCCCGGCTTCTAGGTTTGGCCTGGCCCAGACCTAGCTATTGTTAATTATTGGAAAGTGGACCAGCACACGGAAGATTTCTAGCTCTGCCTGTGTTTGTCTGTCTCTCCTTTTCTCTGTGTTGCTCTGTCCTTCAAATAAATCTTTTTAAAAAAAGGTACTATGTTAGTATAGGAGGAACCAATGATTGTGGATTGTTATCTCTCTTACACATTTTTCAAAGTCAATTTCAACTCAAGTTTGTTAATTTTTCTTCTGCTAATCTTTTATAAAAGTTATTTGTTGGAAGACTAGTTCATCGATTTTCAGTCTATTTTCTATATCATTTGTATTTAATGTTATAAATTTCCTTCCAAGTACTTCATTAGCTATGTTCTGCAAGTTTTATAGATGGTATTTTCAGTATTATTCAACTCAAAGTATTTTCCAATTTCTTCCAAGTTTTTTCTCTTTGATCCATAGAACATTTAGAATTGCTTGTTTAATTTTGAAATTTTTGCTTAAAATGTTTATTCTAATACATCAGTCATTGCATTTTCTCATTTTATTATCTGTCTTCCTGCCCTGGACCTATTTATTTATTCAAAATGGAAGGAGGGAGGGGGGAAGAGAGAAAAAGAGAAAGAGAGAGAGAGAGATCTTCCATGTCCATCTGCTAGTTCATTCCCCAATTGGCTGCAGCAGCAGACCTGGGTGGATCCAAAACCAGGAGAGCCCGGGACTTCTTTCAGGTCTCCCACATGCAGGGGCCAAGCACTCGGCCCACCTCCTGCTGCTTTCCCAGGTGCATTAGCAGGGAGCTGGATTGGAAGTGGAACATAATGAGATACTGGCATTGCAAGAGCTGGCTTTACCTACTATGTCACAACGTGGGCCCCTGCAATTCTTAATAGAGTGGGCAGAATTCTAAAATGCCATGTTATTATTATTATTTAAACATTTACTGCAATGACTTTCCAGCTTCAAATTTGGAGGCAAATATTCCTTACAAGGATGTCAAATACCAGTATCTTTAATATCTAGTACATATTAAATGTTAATAAGCTAGTATATGTATCCCCCAAGTTAATGCCATTTACAACACTTCAATCTTTCATGGCACATTAATAATTAGGAAAACTGGCCTATCATACCCAAAGATGAAACAGAGTGCCCTGTATCCCAACAGGACAGGAGTCAAGGGCGGGGGGAGATTTTTTCTTCAGAAAGTGATTCTTCTCCATATCCAACAACGGGACACAGGTAATTTAAAGTCAAGATATTAAATGCGTGACTGCAGCCTTGAACCTTTGACTTGCCATTTATTCTCCTGCTTCTGGGCTGTTACAACACACCCAAGATAGTCAGAGCCACCTGTAACTCCACATCTCTTCACAGCACCCTTACCAAAACCACCATCAACAGAACAAGCAGCAAATGATTCACTGTTTTACCTAAAAATGAACTGAAATGGAATTCCCTCACTCTTATAAAAAATGTTTCAGAGTTACAGTAACAATTTGCAGGCACAAAACATTTGACAAAAATGTTCCCCATCCAGGAGAAGGGAGGTGCAGGAAGGGAGGTGGGGACTGCTGCTAAGATGTGGCCCTCAGGCTTGGAGTCATCCCCTTGCTTCGCCAGAGGATGGGCTCCTATTGTTTTTACTTTCTCTGTGTCTCTGCAGGTAAATCCATAGTTTTTCAGTTAACTACTTTGCCTTGTTCCCCTTTGCTCCTTTTCCCCTTTTGATTTTTTTCACCTGAGAGTTTTTCCTTTCCTGCTGCCTTTTGTGGCTTTGGTTTCTCTCTGGCAGAAGCAGGTTAAAACAACCACCTGTCCTGTGTCCTCTTGAACTTCCCTCCAAGCTCTTTTCCCTAACAGATGAGTGTATGTTGGCAGGGGTAGGGTGCACCCAGGGCCTTTGGGAAGCTGGGCTTCCTGGCAATTTCAAGCTCTGTTTATTGCCCCCTCTTTCTTGGAAAACGTTTTCAAGAGGGAGCCTGGTGTACTGGGGGCTCACTTTGTGTGCCTCTCTGCTTCTGAACTGTTGAAACTTTCTATTGCTTCTTGTAGTGTGCCTCAAACTGATGTTTTAGACATTTAGTTTTTCTAGTTTGTTTTTTCCTATAAGTTTGCGACCAGTTTTTTCCACAGCGGTGAAAATTCCAGTCTCTTTTCCATACTGAGAGGGAGCCCCTGGCAACTACAGGCAGTGGTGAAATTCTGTTTCTATTGCAAACTAAATTTCAAGGGTGAGCCGTAATTCTTCTCTGTGAGGCCCACATATGATCATGCCTTCTTGTAGGCTCTGGGACAGATTGGTAGGTACCTACAAAATTTATAGCTATTTTCCCTCCTGTTCTTCAGCCTTAGAGAGTAGGACCTTCAAATATCACACTCTTACCGTGTTGGGTGGAAGTGACATCTTTAAACTTTCTTACGGGGTGTAGGAAATACAACAGCCATTGGTTTTCTAGGACTGTTGTGAGCAAGTAACAAGGAAAAAGATGTAGACCAAATTGTGCAAAATCAAGGTACCTGCTTGGTCGCCCTCCCTCTGAAAACTTCAGAAGAAGGGTTCTTTCTTATCTCTTCCTGGCTGCTGGTGGTTTGTGGTAATCCTTGTCACCTCTTGTCTTCTGCACCATTCCAATCCTCCCTCTTTGCCTGGTATTGCCTCCGTGTTTTCACACACATTGTTTTACCTTTGTGCTGGCCTGTTTGTGTATTTCACTGTCCCTCCTTTTATAAGGATATCAGTCATATCAGGTTAGGACCCTCCCAGAGTATGTGTTTTAACTTTTCTTTCACCTCTCTAAAGAGTATTGAATGTGCCAGGATCACATATGGGCGTCAATTCTAATCCCGGCAGCTCCACTTCCCATCCAGCTCCCTGCTTGTGGCCTGGGAAAGCAATCGAGGGTGGCCCAAAGCCTTGGGACTCTGCACCCACGTGGGAGACCTAGAGGTTATTTGTGGCTCCTGGCTTCAGATTGGCGCAGCACCCGCCATTGTGGTCACTTGGGGAGTGAATCATTGGATGAAAGATCTTCCTCTCTGTCTCTCCTCCTCCTCTCTGTGTATCTGACTTTGCAACAAAAATAAATAAATCTTTAAAAAAAAGATGAATCTATGTCTAAGTAAGATCGCATTCTGAGGTTATGGGAGTTAAAGCTTCAACACAACTCCTTTGTGGGACACAGTTCAACTGCAACAAACAAACAAACAAACAAGTCTCCTTTAGCAAGCACTCAAATAGCTAAGCTTAAAAAATTGGAGACATCTTTGGGCTCTCATCACTAATTCTTGGAAAAACAAGAACCATTCAACGTGTCCTCCTGTACAACTACAGCTGCTGATATAATCACAAAGGCAAAATAATGGCAAGTAACAAATCGTTTATTGAGAGATTACTGAATTGGGAGCCATTCTAAGCTCTTCTAGTGATGTAAATGTCATTTAATTCTTCCATCAATCCTATGTGGTAACAACTATTATTTCTGTTTTATGGGTGGTAACACAAGCGTAGGAAGGCCAAGAATCTTGCTTTGCTACATCAACATTATGTTGGTGTCTAAAGTCCCTCAAAAGGAAGGAGTCCTTTTATTTCTGCTGATTTCCAAGCTGGAATTAAGAAGAAATTAAACTTTACTTTCCTACATCCTCACAGACCATGGGGGAGAGGAGACCACTGAGCTACGTTATCTCACATTGGCTCATAAAAAGGGATAAATCATTTGTGATCATATTGCATCCTTTATTGAAGAACTAGAAAAAAAGAGCATTGGAAATGACTTCATTAGAATGCATTTTCCAGGAGACTTTTGGAAAATAATCACAGTTCTTCATGAATTCACGATTAATCTTGATGAGAATCACATCCGTTCTTTGCAATTATGGGGTGACCGAGGAGTACGAGTATTCTGTCGAAGATAAGGAACCTAGGGTGGAGTGATGACAAATTAATCAAGTAGATACTCTAAAATGAGAGCCTTCCTCTGAGTTATTGAGTCAACACAAGATGAACCATTAACAAATACACGTGTAAACCCAGAGTGTGACTGGTTAAAAACAGACTGAGAAGCCAGCACTTACGCTGAGCTGGGGTTTAGCCAAAGACATTTGCGACCCATGCCTCATTAGGTGCAAGAGGTTTCAATGGACTGCAACAGTCATGTTACATGAAAATATTACTCTCCTTAAAGTGACTTTGACCTTCAGCTAGACTCTGGTGAGCCCTGGGATTCCTCTTCAGCCCTCTATTTCATGTGATATCTCAGAAGAGAAACACCTTAACAACCCACGGAATGGAAAGCCCTTTGGCTCAGACTATGGCATTCTGGGAAAGCGTTGCGGGAGGCATATTCGGATGGGAGGACCATCACTCTTTTTCTGGCTGAAACTCTTGTGTTTCTTTTTCTTTCAATATTGTGTCGTATAAACACATTCACACATAGCCTAATATACATGATTATTGAAAATAGGTTGATAATCAAATGAAATATAAATAATACATTCACTAGTTATTGAGAAGTGTAGGAATTAGAAATACCCAGCAAACATCTTAGTTTCCTACCACATTAAGTATGAAACGAATGTAAACAACGAAGAAACCTTCAAACTTGTCCTCTTTTTGATTTCTGTTGTGCAAGTTCAGGTACTTACCGCTTGGCAGGTCTGTTGGAGCAATCGCCTAGTTAGTATTCTTTGTTCCCAGCCTATTCTCTGACTACAGGCATCGTTACTGACATGCTCAAGGTCATTCTACTGCATGTGGTTTGTCTAAGCTATTCATGGGAGGCCTGAAGCACTGGGATGCCAGTGCGAAGCCAAGCCAGGTTTCTGAGCAAGAGCAGCTGATTCTTCTTGCTGGATGGCAACCACGAATTACTTTGTCTCAGCCATCTTGGGATTACAAGGTGAGACAGCTTTAATATAAAGAGGATAGTAACAAAACAGGGACACAGAAGGAATCTGGGTCGCTGAAAACACCACTGAGCTTCTGAGTCAGTCAAGCAGGAGTACCCCCCAACTTTGGATTTGCTGTTTTAAGACATATTTCCAGATTGATTTAGCAGTTTGAATTGGGAGTCCATTTTTTTTTTTTGTCCAGGTGATACTCTAAAGAAAATGATTACATAACCAAAAAACTTGACCAACTAATGCAGTTATTTAAACTCCTTCAAAATTACGGAGGTGCCTACATACTAAACTCAGAATTCCTCAGTGAGGCGGTTAGGCCTCGTTAGGATCTGGTCTCAGCTTGTCTCCAGCCTCATTTTCCATCATCTTCTCCACATATTTGTGCTCCAGGAACTTCACCAGCATGCCATTCATTTGGCTCAGTTTTAGGTTGATACGGCAGAAGGTAAGGCAGGTAAGGAGATAAAATCATCAGTCATTATCACTTCCTTTAATCACTATTCAATGATTGTGTTTCTGTCCTTTTTTCTATCAACACAACATACTGTATCAGTTACTTGTATGTTAAGCAACATTGCATTCCTAGGTTAAATCTCACTTGCTCATAGTGTAAAATTCTTATATGTTGCTGGATTTGGCTAGCTAGATTTTTTTGGGGGACTTTTTTTTAAATGTGTATTCATCCTAGGCTATTGGTCTATAGTTTTCTTCCTCCATGTTTTTCTTCTGTTGATTGTGCTTTTGGTGTCTAAAATATCCATGTACAATCCCAGATCAGAAAGAATTATGTTCATATTTGTTTCCAAGAATTTAAAAATCTTAGCTCTTTTGTTTCTGTTCAATCTGTACATATGTGGGATATTCAAAAAGTCCAAGGACAATTGAAATCTCCTTGAAAAAACTATCTAGGTATTAAACAAATTTTGTGGAGCATCATGTACAGTGCAAGCACACAGCAGCAAGCGAGGACACCATCCACTTCCCACACCTAGGGGCTGAAAACAAGGTTAGGACACACGTGGCAGCCATTGCCACGGTGATTTTGCCTAAAGAGGAACATGAGGACCACAGAGACTTTGAATTCAGTCTGCACTCCTAGCAGGGGAAGGACACAGCTTAATTTCATGAAGGAAAATTACATTTCATTATTTCCATGCCCCAAGAAGGGCACTGGCAACCAGTAGGGAAAAAGTACCATCTCCATGCACCAGGAGGGGCTGTAGTGGTTCTTACATGTGGTATGTACACGTGAGTACACAACCAGGAAATTTTATCAGAGGAATAAATCATATGCCCTTTAGGGTTTGGTTTATGCTGCTGTTTTATCTTTTTAAATTTGTTTAGTGGCTTTCCTTAACTCAAGTGTAATGTTTTCATATCTGTCATGTGTATCCATTTAATGATCTTAACAATTAATGATGGACACAGATTTCCTAAATTGCCTTAAAACAACAAATTGCTCCATTTTTGCCGTGGGGTGTGTGTGTGTGTGTGTGTGTGTGTGTGTGTGTGTGTGTGTGTGTGTGTGTCTCTCTCTCTCCCTGCTGGAGCAGGAGTTAGAAGTTCTGGGAGGCAGCTTGCAGCTCTTCCTTAGCCATCATTCTGCTTACAGATACTATCAGGTCAGCCAGACACGGGAGACCAGGGCATTCTCAAGTCTCTTCTTGACATGCACACATACCTTCATGCGCTGTGTTTCTCAATATTTCCAGATATTAACATAGTTGCAGAGTCTTTCTTGGACATCTTACTCCTCTGTTTTCCAAGGCTGCTGGGTCAGCCTTTAGTATATGCCTATTGTTATCTGTGTTTCAGATGGCTGGTATGCTCAGCCACTGCTTGTTTTGGCAGCATCATTGGGGGGAATAGTTGTTCACTGTTGATTAAGCTCTGAGTGAGGTCAAGTTGAAAAGATGGCATATAGGCAGGTTGCGACAGGTTGAGGGTGTTCCCTGAAGATTCATGTTCCATATTAGTGCCTGGTGTGGTAGTGGTGAGGTGAGGGCCAGCAATTTAATTGTAGTGTAGCAGTCTAGTCTTTCACTTGCACAGCCAGCACCATACACGTGCTGGTTCGTGTCCTTGCTGCTCCACTTCTGATCCCACTGCTTGCCTGGGGAAGCAGCAGAGGACAGCTCAAGTCTTTGGGACCCTGTACCTACACGGGAGACCTGAAAGAAGCTCCTGGCTCCTGGCTTCAGATCAGATCAGCTCCAGCCGTTGAGGCCATCTGGGGAATGAACAGACAGAGGGACCACTTCTCTGTCTTTCTCTCCATAAATCTACCTTTCAAATTAAAAAAATGAATAAATCTTTTAAAAAGAGGTGGGGCCTAGTGGAAGATATTAGGTTTGGGGAATGTTGTCCTCAAAAAAGATTGATATTGGTCTTGCAGAGTGAGTTACAATGATGAGATCAGGTTGTTTTAAAGTGAGGACCCTTCCTCGCCTGCCCCTACCCTCCACTGAACCCCTTCTCCATGAAGCTAGTTCTCTTTGCACCATGTTGTGATGTAACCAGAGAATCTTGGTCAGATTCTGAACAGATGTGGCTTTTCTGTCTTGCACTTTCACTCTCTAAAACTATGAGCTAAACAGATCTCTGTTCTTTATAAAGTACCCAGAGTCAGGTAATCTGTAATAGAATACAAGTCAGTACTTGGACAGTATTTAATTCAGCTGCAACAGCTGGAGCTGAGCTGATCCCTAGCCAGGAGTCAGGAGCTTCTTCCTGGTCTCCCACATGGGTGCAGGGTCCCAAAGCTTTGAGCCATGCTCTATTGCTTTCCCATGCCATAAGCAGGGAGCTGGATGAAAATGGAGCTGCCTGGATATGTACCAGTTCCCATATGGAATTCTGGGTGTGCAAGGTGAGGATTTAGCCACTAGGCTACTGTTTCCAGCCCCAAAGTTGATTTTGATGTTTGTTTATGTTCTTATTGCTTCTGTGGAGGAATGGTTTTTTGGTTTCTCTGTGTCCTCTGAAATATTTATTTTCCAAAGGCATTTAAAGAGCCCAGACATTAAAATGAATATCTTTTATTTATTTTAATTTTTAATTAATTTTCCAGTCCACAGTTTTTAGGACCCCTTCTTTCAGTGGTGTGACCCCTGAAGCCTTTGTCTTCTGTGTCCCTTCTCTGTTAGCCCTCCAGGAGCTAGAAGGCCAGGAGACAAACTTCTCCCACCTAGTTTGGACAAGTCGCCTGACTTGATCTTCACACAGGATGGAGCTATCTTTCAGCATGTTTCCAGCTGCCCTTGCCTTTACAAACAACACTTCCGTTCCTCAGCTGAGCTCTAGACCCTCAAGCAGAGTTTTCTCTTGGTTTGACAAGACAAAAATAACATTACTCACGTTCTTGACTGTATCGTTCTTTTCGAAGAGATGTTTTAAACCAGTGGGCAAGTACGCTGGCAAGAATCAGCTCTGTGATGGTGCAGAGGATGGTAAAATGTACAAGCAACATACCACACATCTGAAAGGGAAGGAAAAGGATTGCTCCCGTTAACGAGCCACTGAACGGTCAGATGAGAGCAATGTGCAGAAAACAGGGAATAAGCATCCTTCACCCGGTCAGTCTCCTGAAATGGTGATTGGTCTGGGTACTTTTTGTAACAGCCAATCAAATTTAGACTATTTAGTGCATTGATAGGTAGCAAGGATTATGTTAAAACAATCTGCAAATCCACCTCTGTTTTGTACATGATGACACTGAAAAGTAGAGAAATTGAAGGGCTGTGGTCTGCTGGGTCTGTTGTGTGCCCTTCTCTTGTGACTGCACGATCTCTGCTCTCTGCAAGCTCATTTGGCACACAGAAAGTTTCATGTTGTATTTCAAGTTTACCAGTGCTATTGCATGAATGAGTGGAAGATGGTCTCTTTCCACGATCTTAGACGGTCCCAGTAGCTCATTCTCTGAGAAGCAAGACAAAACAGCTTCTGGGGTTGCTCAGTGCTGTTCCTTTATTGCTTCCCGTGTGGGAAACACTTACTTACTTAATGGTTTTCAGGGAAGAAGACCACTCTTGCTGGGTTCCTTTTTTATCTCCCAGAATGGATTGTGTTTAGAGTCACAAACTTCTTTTCCACAACTACACAATTCTCTTCCACAATTACACAATCCTGCTACAAAGGCCTGTGGTCTATCTGTAACTACCCAGATGATTATCATTCATGTCAGAAGGTATTAACAAGCTTATTTGGCCCAAGATTCCAAAACTGTTTTCAAAGAGTAACAACCAAAAAGCCTGACTGCTCTGTCTACATCTACTTAACCCTCCTGTCTTATCTCACCTGTCTCAAAATACAAGAGTAGTGTGGATGGCCACTGACTGGTATTTACTTCCTGGGACTGCTATAATAAAATGCAGTGGGACAGATGGCTCAACACAATAGAAATTTATCATCTCAAGAGTTCTGGAAGCTAAAAGTCCCAAGTCAATATATTGACTGGACCATGCACTTGCTGAGGCCTCAAGAGGGAGGCCCTTCCTGACTTCGTCTAGATTCTGGTAGTCACATGTGTTCCTTGGTTTGTAGTAACGTAATTCTAATCTCTGCTTTTATGTTCACTGACCAGCTTGCTTAAATGCTTGTGTCTAATTTTTCTTCTCCGGGTAGGGAAACATCAGTATTACTGGATCACTGGCAATCTCTTTTCTTCTAACCTCATTTTAAGTAATTACACCCACAGTTACCCCAATCCCCATACTGTCACATGCTGAACTGCTGTAGTTTAGGTCTTTAACATACTTGTTGGGGGAGAATACAATTTAACCTGTAACATTCTGCCTTTATTCTCCTCAAATTTATGCCTTTACCATGCACCAGAGTCAGTGGATTCCAACATCTCTCAAAGTTTCCAGCTATTTCAGTATCAGCTCCAAGTTCAATATAACACACTCTCACATCACTGAAATCAATGTAGGAGAGATTCATAGTATGGTTAACGATGGGTTAAGAGTTCGTTTCACCCGAGGGTGTCTGGATTTCAGCAGGGGTAATTTTGTTGTTTTCAAGTGTGAGGATAATCCTCCATGGCTCAGTGTGGAGGCAACCCTGTTTTGTTGGCTCCACTTCTTAGGCCACTGTAGCTGTGACGTCACCTTTTCAGCTAGTGCTGGCTCAATTTATACTGCATGAAAGTGCAAATCTTTGTGATGTGGCTCCTTTTTCCTATTTATTTTTTAGTGCTCTTTCTTTTCTGCATCACTAGCATTTTAACTTCATTTTATGTTAATTATAATTGTCTTTGTGCTCTTAATTCTTGCATATGTGGTGCAAAGTAGGTGCCCAATATTATTTTCTTTGAAATGACTGACTCATTGATTTAATATTATTAATTTCATCTTTCCCTTATGAGTGGGTCAGGTTGATATTTCTATAGCTTATTATGTTAACATATTCACATAATTCATAAATCTTTCATGTATATACGAAAGCTTGATTCAGTTGTTATTAAAGTCAATACTCACATTTGACCAAGTGTATTCATCTGACATTTCTTCAAAAGCCACAAACTCAACGACTAACACAATTAAACCAAGTGTAGCCACACAGATACTTAAGACGTTCATTACAATTGCTGTAATAACCTGTAATAGACATACAGAGAAAAACTGAGTATGGATATGTTTTTCTTGAAAAGTTTAGGTTTTATTTGAGAAGAGGAGAGAGAGAGAGAGGAGAAAGAGAGAGAAAGAGAGAGGAAGAGAGAAAGAAAGAGGAGAAAGAAGCAGATTTCACCCACGAGTTTCACCCAAATGCTCTTAATGGTCAGGAATGAGCTAGCGTTGTGATCCATGTCTCTCTAAAGGCTGACATAGACCCAACTACTCGAGGCTCTCTCCAAGGGCCTGCATTCGGAGAGAGCTAGGTCAGGAATCAGAGCCAGGACTGGAATTCAGACACTCCATCATGGGATACGGCTGTCCAGCTAGTGACTGCGCTATTATCAGGCTGCCATGAAGCAACTGGCCTATTCTCAGTTGAAGGATTTCTCTCCCTTTAAATCCAGCTTTCTGGAATCTATGATGGCTCTTGTTAGGACTCCATTCAAGTGTGTGTAGAAACCAGTCAGATAATTTTTTTCCCCAGAAGAGCTGTTGTTTGTTCATTCAAGAACCTATAATGTATTAACCATTTTCCTTGGGATAATAGCAGATTTCTACCGAAGGAGATTATTAATAGGGGAGATAAAATTATGAACAGTTTAGTGAAATTTAATACATGTCATGCTATGAGTAAGTTTAGGATTTCTCAATGTCAGTCCTTTGTAGAAATGTCATTTTCTACTTAAAATCTTTCAACTGGCCCATAGCTTTCTTCCAGGCAGCATCCACCCTCTCGGATGACACTGAGCACTGGTTGGGCTTGTGAAGGAAGGCTGTATTCCTCTGAAAGGAGCTGCAGGTCCTTTATATGTATGTGTGAGAGACAGGTGCACATTAAAGAAGTTTTTCTTGTTGTAGTAATGGAAAGGATGGTGATTTGGAGCTAGGTAGCAAAAAGAATTTTTGATTGTCTAGCAGCTACTCTCATTACTTTTGAGGGTTGTATTCAAAGGCTTAGGTTTTTTCTTAATCCAAGAGTTCTTTCCAACTTCTACCATGAAAATCAACGAGTGGGTCTGATAACAGAATCTGTGGAGGCAATGTGGGCTCACCCCTGTGGAACTGCAATCTCTGCTGGCTTGCCCAAGAACTACAGATGGGGTTAGGACTTGCTGGGGAGCTAAGGGGACGCCCCAGCTGGGCTGGGGCTCCCACTGGTGAGAGTGAAAGCAGGATTGAATGCGGCAGGCTTGGCTGTACATGGCTACAGACTACGGGTGTGCATTGGGATGGTGGAGCAACAGACTGGGCTAGACTCCAGCCCCCACTGTTACTCATAAGAGCCAGTTTGGGTGTAGAACAGGCCGGCCAGACTAAGTCTTGACTCCTGCTCAACTACGTGAAAGCTGTCTGGGAGTGAATGAGATAAGCACGGGGCTGTAACAACTAACAAGAACCAGAATGGGTGTGGGTGGTCCAGCAAGGCCACTGTTCTTGTCAGGACAGGAGGTGGACTAAGTCAACCTGCACCAATGACCCACTGGTGTTCACGAGACCTGCCACTGGGAGGAGACTCGATGGAGGAGCTTGGGAGGTTCCGTCACTGGGACTCAGTCCCTGCAGGTGAGTGCAAAAAGCAAGGCAAGGAGCAGCCCAGACCATGCCAAGTTACAGTACCCGCTGGCATACATGTGGGTCAGGTCTGGGGATAGACCGGTCTGGGACAGCACATAACACCCACTGGCATATCTGAGAACCAGGGTAGGGAGCAGGAGGAGCCAGATTGGGCCTCAACACCAGCCATTTGCATTAGGACCACGACAGCAATCAGGCTGGGCTGGGATAGGCTGCAGTATCCACCAACAGGAGCTGGAACAGGGGGCAGACAAGACTAGACCAGGCGGCACAATAAGACTGTGGACACCATGGTGAGGTGTCATACCAGCCTGGCCCAGGTACATAAATCCCAGGGACAGGGCATGTGACAGTGCTCAGGTAACTTGGCTCAGGTCCTAGGGCTCACCTGCGTAGTAGGGGATGGGTTCCTGAGCCCCAGGGACAAAGGGAACTGGTAGGGGATGGATCAATTGGCCCAGTCCTAGGGCCTGCCTTTTGGGTGGGTATTGTTTTTGTGAACCCTGGGGGTGGAGTTTTTTTGTTTATTTGTTTCCCCAAGAGCTGACTCAGGAGCAATTTCTTCTTTTCCATTTGAGCCAGATCACATTGTTCTCTTCTGAATTGCTCCAAACATTTCGACATACCTTACACAGCGTATGAGGCTTCTGTATGACGCTCCACGCTCCTGAGTTCATGAACTGAGGATAGAAATAAGTATGTAAAAAACCTTTACGACTTTGGAGGATCCCTTCAACAAACTCTCCTCCTAGTGCCAGTGGCATTCCTGATATCTGGTCTCTTGAAAGTGAGCCTAAGTCCTTCCTGTGATGACCACTAGGGGGCTCTCTAAGACACGGAGGGAAAGTTGGAGATTCTGCTCATTAGAAACAGCTTTACAACAATTTCCAGGACAGTGAGTAGATACCTGTTTTTTCCTTTATTGAACTCGTCATCTGAATTACTTAGAAAATAATCATGAGGGGCTGGTGTGCTGAGTTCTCACTTGCAAGAACCCTTCTTTCCCCATAGTATTATAGGAAAAAAAATATTTCATGAATGGAAAATAGTTTCAAGAATGAATTTGATCTAAGGATTTACAAGTTGCATTCCACCAATATCACGTCCTTAGGGATGATATTACTTGCTGGCACTAGGTCGAAATAAATATTGTTTTTGATATAAGAAGTGTTTAACTTTACCTCCACGGTTTTAGATCTTGGCCTTGAGTCTACCTGCAGTGCTAGTAAGAGATGACTTGAGCATACTAAGCAGGGGTTGGAGCATCCCCCCATCTAGGGAAAGGGAACCTGCTGTGGGAACAGAAGCAGCTTCGCTTGACGTTTTATTTCTGACATCTTGTTACTGTGAGAATTACTTACATTACGTAAGCCTGGGTTTCTTCATTCATAAACTACAGAGCAATCACAGCTCTCTTATAAAGCTGATGTGGCAGTGAGGCAAAAAAAACTTGAGGCATTTTGGGGAGGTGACACACAGTGGCTACTAAGTTGAATCGCTTGTTTCTGTGTCATAAACTTTTTTTGCTATTTGCTGGCCTAGATATCCTGTCTAGAGGCCTTGGAAGAGGGTGTTTCACCATGTTGCCTCGGTAAATAATTTCAAGTATTGGTAAACATATTCAATTTGAGGACTGTTACCACAGAAAATTCTCTGAGAAAATAGTGTCTCTCATGCAGAGTGGTGATCTCAGATCCTTTTCTGAGTGAACTGACTGAACCAGCATGTCTTGGATGCCTTCTAAAAAAGGGCAGGGATTGGGCTAAACTTGAAGTCTCATGCTCAGTGGAGTACAAAACAGTGAGGAAGGAGATCCTGAATGCTTCGTCCTCTATGGAGGAATTTGATCTTAGGGCTCACTTCCTACTTCTGTCGAGTTAGAAGCCTAATGTGATGGAAGTGTTGAATCTGTGGCTGGACCTTGTTGCTTCTGAGTAACATGATTCCTGGTTGTCCCTGAGTTGAATGAGACTGTGAACTGTAAGTATGTGATGGGAAGCCATGGCTTTGGGATCCTGAGTGTAACTGATGGAGACCTTGCAGACTATGTTCATGGAAGTATAATACCCTTAGTCAAAATACCCACTTTAACAATAACCTCAACTTAATTTCTCCATGTGGCCCCTTATGTTTTATCTTTCCTTATAGAACTCCTAGAAACTGTCTTTCTAGTTCCAGACATTAGGCTTTTCACTCTGTAAGATGAAAACTTTACCACTAAGACTATGCGTGGTTATCTAAATAACACTCTATTCTTTAAGGTACTTGTCCAATCTTTCCTCTTTGTGCACCACAGTCTCCACAAAGATTTTTTATCAATACATGCAACAAACATTAAAGAGCGTCCTGTCTCCACACTAAAATGGAGTCTTTTAAAGTCAGAGATTGAGCCCCCATTCCATTGCTTGGCCACCCGAGTAAACTGTTTGATTCATTAGAAAAAAAAAAGGAAATCAATAATACCATGGTTTACTCACAAATATTGCTGACCCACATGAGTAAAATATTAAAATCATCATAAGGGTAGTACCAACACTATTTGACTTCTCTTCTAGAGAATGCAAAAAAACCCAGAGAACTCCAAATGCATAGAGAATCAGGGAAATCATTATTTGCGCAGCCTGTGAGAAGAAAAAAAAAAAATCAATATTATTACTCAAGTCAAATCTATCACAAGTTGTTGCCGAGAAGGCATGAGGATGAAGGAGTAATCATGAGAATGTCCTGTTTACCCTGATGGTTCTGAAGCAGTATGCGAAAACTGAGCGTTTGGGAAGGGCCAATGTAGGTAGAGAAATGGGAGCCTCGGTTGGATGGTCGGGCCTCTTAACTTCTTAAAATAGAGCGTATTCACTTCTGTCTCACAGACACATTCAGAGATGATTCAATATTTAGCTTTCAGGCTGGCTTTAATTATTCAAAAAGCAGAGGCCTACTTGTCTAGTTCAGCAGGACATGCATGACTCTGAGACCTCTAAAGCTCTGTCTTGAGACTGCCAACCCCGCACCCTCCTCTCCAGCATGCTTGGCTTTCTGAGGCCGAGGTTAGCCCGCTCTCTGCCTCCAACAGAGACAGGAGCTTTTCACCTCACTCTACTTCTGGCATCCTCTCTTGCCTGACATTTGGGCTTGAGCCTCTCTTGCACCCTGCCCACTCCCACAACCAGGGCTGACTTTTGAAACCATAACCTGGAAAGGTCCTAGTTGTGATATAAAAAAAAATCACCAAGAAAGTACTGTGTTCTGATTCCTTGCTGCCAGGGGCCATGCTTCAAAGCGACCCTTATTCTCCAGCTTGAGTTTCACAGATGGGCCATTGATGATGGTGCCTGCACCCCCAAGAGGAGCTAGACTGAAGATTAGACTCCAGTTTCACCTTTTCTGCACCTGTTTGGTGCCCAATGCCCATTCATTATTTCTCAGATCCGTTTATTTTGTCTTAAACGGAGTTAAGTGATTTAAATCAGATCACTTTAGATTTGCAGTTCCTAGGGGGCATTTTGGTTTCTGTTCTAGTCTTGAGCTTATGGGAAAGTGTATTGAAGTGTCTCAGAGTAGCAGAAACTGTAGCATATCTACTTGATTAGCAAAATGCCTGCCGTGGAGTGTGCTCTTAAGTGGGCATAAACACGAGATACAAAGATCTTCAGGTTTCTTTTTTTTTTTCCAGTTTAGACATCTATCAAGAAACTCCATCTTCAGACTTCCTTGTTATCTGTTTTCCAATTAATTCCTTTTGATTTCTTGAGTATCTGGCAAAACCATTGGTGGCAGCTATGAATTGCTATACAGTCTCATGCCTAGCCATTGTTTTCTCCAGACAAATGAACAACCTGGGATGTTTCTTGAAGTTCTGCCCACTGGGAAAGCACTCCTTCATCTCTGTCCTGCAGGTTTATCCCAGAGAGCAACTATTGTGCTGCATCACATGATACTTGGGTTGTTACTTGGGTATCATGCAGATCTGTCACTTGCAAGCAAGGTATAAATTTTCTTCCCATCCTTTGTCAACTGGCAACAAGGAATATCTCACAAGACTGCAGGTGAAGGTGGGAGACAAAGCAGGACAGTGAGAATAAGGCCTGTGGACATTTAGGCCACTTCTTCATATAACTTGCTCAGGCATGCCCATGTATATGTCATGTCCTCTTTATAATGAGATGTCGCTGTGTGCACCAACCTCCTGGCTTGGTGGGCCAAGCAACATCTAGTTCACATTGGAGATATCAGCTTTTATGGAAACTTGGTGGCTCATGGCTAAAACATTCAGTCTCTTCTAAGTAAGGCCTAGTGGTGGGTCTTAGAGCTAAGAAAGAGCAGGCTCTTGAGAGTAGCTATCCAAAGAGGAGATTAGAGATTTGCCCCATATCCTAAAACCTACACTGTAATTTGCTTATAGAAGTCTTCCAGAGGCTCCATAAATATCCATAGCTACCACTGCCACTTTAAGCACCACTGGATCTGCTGACTGAAATAGCCAGAGCATCCCGCATCCTGACTGGGACCTAATGTGGAAACTTCTGCTTTGTATCCCACTAAAAACTGGCAGTTTTCCCAGTCATTTGTAAATAGACTATATAGAGTACCATGGTAACGAGTGTGACATTCCATAAGTTTTGATGGTAGTTTTAGTAGATACACTCTATTCTGGATAGGAAAATCTGTTGCCTTGAAAATCTAAAGCCTCATTAGATTGTATTCCCCCCACTTGTTTTGACTGTAGGACAACCCAGATGCAACAATTTCTAATCGCTACCTTTAAAGGTATAGACAGAAATGCTCCATCCCACTGGATCCCTGTATTATTGTTGGATTTATTTTCCACTCCTTGACTGTAGCGCCTACTTCTTTTTAACTAGATTCCATCAGGATAATGTCACCATTATAACATTATATGACATTATATGCAACATTATATATGTATAAAATACTATAACATTATAACAGATCACTGTGATATCTTATGGAAGAGAAAAAGGACCAACATCCTTGAAAACTGAATTATGACAAGGGGATGGACAGTTAATATAGTTGTGAGATAGGATAATGACGGTTTATCATTCCTTTGCCAGATGAAAGCAAATAGGTTCTAGTGGTCCTCATTTATAGGAACTGAGGAGAGGCATTTGAAAGCTCACTAACTGCATATTGGGTACCAGGGGATGTATTAATTTTTTGCAGGCAATTAAATCATAGCTGATACAGAAGTTGCAATTTGAATTACCACCTGATCTAGCCTGCCATAATTCACTGTCATTTACCAACATCCATTTGTCTTCTTCATAGGTCAAATAAACAAGGTGAATGAGTTAGAAATATTTCTGTTGCATCTCCCATTCCTCGATGTGGCAGTAATCTCCAGGAGCGTGGCTTCTATTCCCACTGTGACACCTCGTGAGAAGCTAAAGCAGGGATTCTACCACTTATTGACTTTAGCTATTCCAATTATGCATTCCAGAACTGGAGGAATAACCACTGACTGGTTTTTGGGAAGTAATTGAGCCTACTATGACAAACAACTGGACTGAAACAACCTGACCTTCAGAAGCCTGTACCCTTAATGAGTGGACCACAGTGATGTTTTGGGTCTTCTAGAGTTAGTATCACTAGTCTCTGAAAAGTCTCTGAAGGTACTACTACCCTGGTAGAGGGGCATAGATCCCCACCCCAGGGGAGACTGAGAATTATACAAATTTTGACAGTGTTCTGGGTGCTTCTTCTCTTTCACTTAGGTGCTTCCAGATCTGTGAACTGATTGAAATCTGGGATTGACTGAGGAGGCACATGGTCTGTTTTTCTATTTTACTTGACTTTGATTCCTTCGGTCTGGGACTTTTCAACTTATACAGATCAAAGAATAATAGGATTTCTTTCTGTTTTACTTTAGCATCGACTAATCAGCATCATCGATGGCTGTATGTCAGACTATTCTGACTACTGCTTTGACTTAGGCAACTATTTTGATAATCACAACTACCCTGCCTCTGGCACACCTGCCATCCCAAGGAATTTAATTGTGCTCATTGCAAGATGACACAGTTCTTTATGAATGCTAAGTTTCTACCAGTTTATTTGATATAGATATGGGGGTAAAGATATCTTCCAGATTCTTCCCCCAACTCCTGTCACCTCAGAATGAGTGAGGTGACCAATTTGAAATGACCAGCTCACTCCAACATTCTGGTTACCCGAAGCAGGTCAATCTTTCTGCTGTAAACTAAGAAAAAAGTCTGGAATTTATAGCTTACTCTCAGTTCCTATTTCAACCAATCATATCTATAAATTCAGCCCAATACAATCCAATTTTATTCCCACCTCCATTATCTTTTACTCTCATTATCTATCTAAACATTAATTGGACTTCTGTCTATTTAATCAGGAAACCCAAGGAGTTCTTTAGGAATATATCACCCTTTCTCACAGGTGCCACTTTGTATCTCAACTTTAGAAAGCTTCTGGAAGTTCTAATTTCAGATATAGAAACAAACAAAAAATGATGATAGATATGAGCCAAGGTGAATCAGTATTATTTTGTGAGCCAAGCATCTCTGCGGAGGTCCTTACAGCTTCCTTAGGCAACACACTGTTAGTCCTTTTTGTAGGAGTGGAAGGACTTCTTTCGCTGGCAGAGAAAATGTCACAGTGTTCCCAGCTTGACTGATGTCTTCTCTTTTGTCCCCACTCCAAGTTTCAGAAGCCCATTCCTTTGCAATTGTAGACACTGTGGGGATTCAATTTACTCTGGAAACCAGCCACTTGCAAGATAAGATTCTGGGTCTGTATTTCAACAATCTTAATCCTTAGGGCAGAAGAGGTAAAGCTCTCTTTCAAGACAGATATAAAAACTTTCAGATTTGTCTTCCAGAATTAGTGATTGGAATTCAAATCTTTTGGTTCAGCCTTTTTTTATTTTTAGCGTATCCAATGACATTAGAGGAAACCACTCAATATCTTACTATACTCAGTAATTTGAAAAAAATACTTCAAGAGTATCATACAAGGTCAGATTTTTGCTTCTTATGTTTGGTTAGGAGTTTCCAAGTGATATTTTGTCAAACTGTATTTTCACATTCAGTTATCTATTTACTACTGGAAATCAAATCATTAGCATTTTAAATTCTGATTAGGGAACCAATTCCAGAAACCTGGAGCCAGGTCATAGAACTTATGATTAAAAGGATTTGCTTTTGGCCCAATGCGGTAGCCTAATGGCTAAAGTTCCTGCCTTGCACATGCTGGGATCCTATATGAGCACCAGTTCTAATCCCGGCAGCTGGGCTTCCCATCCAGCTCCTTGTTTGTGGCCTGAGAAAGCAGCTGAGGGTGATCCAAAGCCTTGGGACCCTGCAACTGTGTGGGAGACCAGGAGGAGGCTCCTGGCTCCTGCCTTCAGATCAGCTCAGCTCAGGTCATTGTGGCTGCTTGGGGAGTGAAACATTAGATGGAAGATCTTTCTCTTTGTCTCTCCTCTCTCTGTCTATCTGACTTTCCAATAAAAAAAAATCTTTAAAAGTATTTGCTTTTAGAGCTACTACCAATCTCCACATTTGTATTACTCCAGATCATCCAGAGAAAGAGATCAACAGGATGAGTATACACACACACTCGTAGGATAAAGGATAAGTTATATAGACCTAAAATGACATGAAATGGGAGCTGTTCCTATTGTATACAGAGCTTTAAGGCATTCACATGTGTCTTGCATTTTCACACCATAGGCAGGTCCTAATCCATGGGAGATAATCAAAGACTTGGTGTATTGGAATTTTTTTCTAGTGTGAAACTGAATGTTATTGGCTTAGTTCCAAATGTGATTAGCTATTCCACAGGTATTGGTGGATAACACAGGAAGGCATAGCATCCTATGGTTAAGGAGGGATAAGAGGGAGTCATTGATACAGAATATGACTCCTTTGAGTCAAATATAGAGGAAGCATGCTGACAGCACATCATTCCATTATCTACAGCTGCTTCTGGCTTTAGGCCGATCATCTGACCACCTGATTTATGTGTGCACTGCTTTAAACTGTTCACAAAGAAGGAAAAGCAGCTCTCTACAACCTTACGTAGGTTGTGGTGATGTTGAACTATCAGGAATGATTTGTAGATCTGTGACTGTGTCGAATTTGCTTTAGTCTGATTGTCACAATTTCAGAACACTTTCATCCGTGCTTCTTCTTTTGGGGCTTCATTACACGTGTAGTCAATATCTTTCCTGTTTATACTAGTAAGAAACAACATTAATTAACCTGTGTGGCACCTAGTCCTTACCCCCAGTGCTTTGGTTTCCTTTCTTATGGGAAATCTTCTTGGCATCTTAACTGAGATATGATATAGGATTTATAGAGGATGAATAGATTCTTTTCCTGTAGAGAAATGCAAAGGAAAATGAATACTAATTACTTCTGAGACAATAATAACATCTGATTTTTCACTACTTCATAATTTCTTGAAAAAAGCTTTTTTCCACCAACACACTAATACTGGTCTCTATCAAATAGCTAGCAACTTCCTAGAAAGAAACCAAGAGCTACTTCTCAGATGGAATGCTTCCATCATGGCCTTTGAATGAGACTGAGTATATGCTGTTGGGTGTAGTTACCGCACTCCCATGATTTTCACCTTTTCTAAGAACCACCTGCTTCTTACATCCAGGGAGTCACCCCAAAATTGAGTTCCTGTTTGCTATGTTTGCTCTGCATAAGAATGTCCCCCGAATTGAGCCATAGTTAAAGACAGATATTGGACATCCTGTTTGAGTCAACAACATTTTCCTTCCCAGAAAACTGCTTGCAGCCCTAAGAGTACAGTCCCGTTTTGGACTTGCTTTTTTTTTTTTTTTTTTTTTAACAAGAACTAGTAGCACCACTGTGTGCTATCCTTCTGGAAGAAGAATGAAAGGGTAAAGAGTGGAAGGATGAGGAGGCCCTAAAACTTCTGACAGCGTTCTCTTTCCTAATTTCAACTGTTTTTTTTTTTTTTCAGGTTTATCTAAGCAGATAAAGCTGCAAGTTTAAAACAGAGCCAATGCTTTTCTTAGTGGTTCAAAACGATGGTTGAATTATGAGGCTTGGGACAAAAAGATGCATTTCACCTTTTAAATGCTTAAAATTGCAGAGGCTGTGGCTAAGAGTCTTCTGTAAAGACTATGTTATGGTTCAGAGAAGTGGCTGTGGTCTACAAAATTATTGTCCTTAATTATTCTTTATTTTTTCCTGTTAGAGGATTCTACACCTTCACATACTGCCTTCTGACATGCATGCCAGGGGATGAGTGTGTTTCTCTCTCTTGCTGACACTGGATTTGACTTCGCAACATGCTTAGATGGATGGAATAACACATGCCAAAACTTTACGAAGTACTATACACTTCATCCGTCTTGTTGATTTATGTGTGCTGTGAGAATATCACTTCCTAGGCTTTTGCTATTCATTGGTGTGGATGCCAGAATGTAGACATAGGAGAGGCACACACTCTACCCACAATAAACATAATACAAATGTTTGTTCTTGTAAGCCTGAAATTTTGTAGTTCTTTCTTCAGCAATATCAGTCATTGTCTTGGAATTACCTCTAAGCAATTACGTAGGAGCATGGAGAGACAGAAGATAGCATGTTTGGAAATGATACTTGTAAGACTGTTAGAGTACAGGTGAATATCGCTTAAGACAATAGAGGAGCCTTTGAGGAGGTTGGGGCTACTTTTACTTCCTTGTTCTTGCCCTCAACAAGTGTGGGAGCTTGCCCTTGTGTTGGCTGTGCAGGCAAAGTCTGACCTGAACAGAAATTGTATGGGGAGAGTGATCTTCACAATGAGAGAAGGGTGGGACTAAATGATTTTTTCAAATTGCAGTTGTAGGCAAAAAAAATAAAAAATTGGGAAGAATGTATTACTGGTGATCCTGCTAAGAAATAAGATAAGGAACTCCAATCTGTGGAGGATATTCTTAGTGTCACAGGAGGGTGGTAAAGACTGTAACAGAGGGGCTCGCTTCTGAGGAGTATATCTCAGCTCTGCCAATTTGTATGTGGAGAGTACAGAGCTTGGAGAGTGAATATCAAGTTTCAAATCATATCAAACAATGTGAATGCAGACCATAAAAGTTAGTATATTTCCTGGTATAGTTCATCACACCAGGCTGATCTTTCCAAAGATTCCAGAAACTAAAGAAAGACAAATACCATCAAGAAAGCACAGAGAGGTATAAAACCCATTAGAAGATCAGGTATAAACACACAAAAATAAATAAGAATCAATTTTACCAACCAAATAAGCCAGAAATGCACAAAGATGAACTATGAAGGAGAAAAAGATTAAAGATTAAAGGATAATCAAAACCAATAGGAACATTTAAAGAAATAAAAAGACCATGTCTATGCTTATCAACAATGATCTTGAGAATAAAGGGATGAAATCTGTCAATTTAAAGATCTGTATTGGCAGAAGGGATCAGAAAAGACCCAACAGTCTGTTGCTAATAAGAAAGTCATGCCAGCGCAAAGATACACAGACTGAAAATAAAAGAATAGAAATGATATTCCACATAAACAGAAAAAAAGAGCAACAATAACTATACTCATGAGACAAAATAAAATCTAAAACAAAAACTGTAAAAAAATGACAGAAAGATTACTATATAATGAACAAGGGGTCACCACTCAAAACTCAGAACTCAAAAGGCAAATAAAGAAGCAATACAAAATAAATTGAAATGGAAACCCAACTTCTAAAAGGATAAGAATCTATATGAAGAAAAAGAAAGGTCTCAGATAAAATGTTAACTTTATACTGAAAGGCAGTAGTGAAAAAAACAAGACCCAATTTTTGTTTGATAATCTAGAAAAATGATAAACTTATGAAAATGCAAAACCAAGTGAAGTTGAATCATTAAGAACCAGAAAATGGGAATAGATTTATTGTGAGAAAGGAGTTTGAAATGGCAAATAACCGGCAAAGTCTCTCTTCAGAATTAAGCAAATGGACTGACAATCTCACTGCTGAATTTTAGCGGACACTTAAAGATGAGCCAATGCCCATCCTCTCAAACCCTCCCCAAAAATTAAAGAAGAAAAAGACTCATTTTATGAATCCATCATTTCCCTGACACCAAAGTCAGACAAGAACTTCACCAGGAGGGGACATCATAGGTTAATATCTACGATGAATACAGAATACTAGCAAACAAAAACAAAAGCTGACCAAAATGACCATTCACCAGAACCAAGTAAGATTTATCTCTGGAATTCAAGCGTGATTGAACATTACAAATTGATATGTGATGTAATACATTAGCACATGAGGGATGAAAGCCATGTAAACATCTCAAGAGCATTCCTAAAACGTGTTGGAGTTCAGCTTCCTTTCACCATCAAACTCTGAACTAACCAGATGAAGGAATGTGCCTGAACACTGTAAAAGCTAAGCCTTTCATGAGCATCATACCCAATACTGAGATGCTCAAACAAAGCTTTGAGTCTAAGACCAGGAATGAGAAAATGTTACTCGTTTGTATTTTTATTCAATGTAATACTGGAAGTCTCAGCCAGGGAAATTAGACAGAAAAACAAAGAGCATAAAGAAGGAAGGAAGGTGGGAGGATGGGTAGAAACGGGTAAAGATGTTATATTGTCTTTATTTTCCTGGGACACTTTTATCTTCTCTAGAGAAAACCCTACACATTCTACCAAAAAGCCTGTCCAAGGCTAATAAATAAATTCAGTAAAGTTCTAGGATACCAAATCAACATGTCAGAAGGGCTAGCATTGTCCTTTTACATTAACAATGAACTATGTACAAATCAATTAAGAAAACTGCATTAACATGAAGCATGGCAGTTATATTTAGTCAAAAGCCTCGCCCTCAAGCTATGTTTCAGGTATTTAAAAGCAGTCTGTAGCCTGGTGGTTTGGGTCTTGCATGGATTGGACAAGATCTGAAGATTTGCATGTTAACTTCTTGAAATTTCAAGGAAAACACACTGTACTACAATTGCTTGTGTTATCAAAAAGAAAGAAGTAGCTACATTTGCTAAAATCTCAAAAAAAAATCAACTTAGGAAGACAGTGAATCAAGGAGGTGGAAGAACTGTGTGTTGAAACTGTAAAATGTTGGCAGAAGAACTTGAAGAAGAAACAAACAAATGGAAGTATGTATCTGGTTCATGGAGTGGAAGAATTAGTGTTAAAATGTCCAAAAGACACAAAGTCATCTATGGAGCCAACACCATCCATACCAAAATCATTAACAATGCCAAAATTCACACTGAACCTCCAAAGACAATAAAAAGAAGTTTGAACAGCAAGAACAAAGCTGGGGGAGGTGAGGAGTGATAGTGTGGCAAAGCAGGTTAAGTTGGCTGCCTGTGATGCTGTAATCTTGTACCGGCGCTGGTTGGAGTCTTTGCTGTTCCACTTCCAATCCAGCTTCCTGTTAACGTGTGTTGGAAATCAGGAGAGGATGTGCCAAGGGCTTGGACTTCTCTATCTATAAGGGAGACCTGGATGATGTTGTTTGTTCCTGGCTTTGGCCTGGCCCAGCCTGAATCATAGCAGCACTTAGCCAGATTCTCTCTAACCCATCCTTTCAAATAAATAAAACATGAGAACAAAGCTGGAGATACCGTAATACCTCATCTCCAAATATATTTAAACCTGTAAGAATGAAGGACTATACTATTATAATAATATAGGTGAAATCAGTGTGTGTGTGTGTGTGTGTGTGTGTGTGTGTGTGGAGAGAGCGGGATTTGGAAAGGGGAAGGGAAATCCCAGAGCCTATGGAACTGCATCATAAACTAATAAAATAATTAAAAAAGAAAAAGAACCATTGCAGCATGGTGCTGTCCTAAAAACAGAGACACAGACAAATGGAATTGATTAGAGAGTCCAGAAATAATCTCATGGAGGTTTTTTTTTTCCAATTGATTTTTCAATAGAGAGGCTAAAATCACATAATAGGGAAGAATGGACTCTTCAATAAAGAGTTTTGGGAAAACTTGGCATGCATATATAGAATAACACTATTTTCTTATAGCTTATAAAAAATCAACAAAAATAGACTGAAGGCTATTCTGTTTATGTTCCATTTCCTATTTGCATGGAACCTGACTGTTATGCCGAGAAGACAGCGTATTTGTCTGCCCATGATCCTGCCCAGGGTTTACACGGACTCTGTCAGATTCCCAAAACTATGTTGGATCGTTTCCAAACATTTACTATTCATAACAACTCATTCCCTAGCCCCTGTCCTATGATTTTTAGTCTACTCTTGTCCCAACTATTATCCCTCAGACAGTGATGAGTGGGGCACTGGCATCATTCATGTATTTCTGTCAAGCAGATACCTGAGATCTGGGTACTTCTAAGGCAGACAAGATTAATGTGAATCCTTCTGAGCATGGCTTCCATGGAACCACCAGACAAAGCGAAAAAACCACCACAAGTCTTTGATCATAAAGCGTGTTCTCCTTCTGGTACTGAGTACCTGTATTGGGAATGCAAACATTTTAACTTGGGATTGAGGCTGAGCTGATGAGTGACAAATGGCGTTAGGATAAACTGAAACACAACAAAACTCTCTTACCCAGTTTCAGCTATGCTGTCTTGATTAAGAGTTTCCTAATTGCTCCACATTTCAGTGAGTTTTCAGAATTAGGAGAGTCAAATCTGTTTTTGTTTTTTTTTTTTTTGAACAGCTTTTTCAGTGCTTGGTGTTTTCTTGTTTACCAGTCTAATCAATGTCACTCTAACCACATCTTAAATTAGTCTTGATGATATAAATTTAGAAACGAGCCTGGCAGGTTCTCATATGCTCGGTGCCTTGCATCTTTCTCTAAGCTTCTCTGTGAGCACTGCATTGCCCAGGCTTGGCTGGCTGCTATTCTCTATTCAAGCTGCTGGTCTTCACAGGAATGAAAATGGTACCCAGGAACTGACCGATAGATGGTTAAACCTGGATATGCTCACTGCTTCTCTACAACTTCCTCTTCTTTGACCAACTGCCCTCAAAAATCAATCCAACCCAACCAAAATTGATCAGTCATTTAAAAACATGGAGACAACAATAGCTACATCTATTGCTACATCAAGAGGGGAGTGCAGGGATGGAAATGGGAGACCAAGAACAATGGCTGAATTGATAATCAGCTTACTTTCTGCTTTCACTGTTACAAAGACACCTTGTCTCCTTCAATAGCTCCTTGTTCTTTCCATAGCCTCTCCAGAACATTCCCCACATCTTGGCAATCCGTCAAATCTCCTCACATCATTTAAGTAAGGGGAGGGGAGTTCCATTGTCTTCAGAAAAGTTATATATAAAAAAAGAGTGTTTCAAGATGTACCCTCAGGCTTCCGAGGACCTTAACTTCAAATTACTTTCCTGTCATTTGTGATCAGTTTTAGTTCCACCAAAAGTTCATTGTTTTAAATGGTGTATTGTGCTAAGAGAAGGAATTTGGAAAAGTGTCTGTGAAGTGGCAGGTGTGCAATGAATATTATTATTATTACTGTCCTAAAAAGCAAGTTGAAAGTCCACATGGTTTTCCATCACATTGGGAATAGAATGACTGAGAGTCTAAGTTTGGTGAATATAAAAAATTCACTTTGAAGTCCCTGGATGAACATCTTGAGATGATAAATAGTGATCCCATAAAATAGCTGGACACCCAAGCTCAAGAGGATCCCCGATGGCAAGCCAAAACACTAGCATGAAAAGAGAAAATGAAAGCTGATTTCCAACAGGATTTCAAATCGCCTGGATGCTGAGAATTTCAGCTTTGGCTTGTCAAGGGGTGGCAAATGACAAAGTCATCTCCCCGCCGGCTTTACTTACTCAAAATGATGGAAGACTCTCCCGAGTAATGCGCGGTAAGCTACCTACATGTGTGACTAGCGCCGAGGTGTGTAGGATGGGCATGGATGGTTTCAACTCAACTACTATTACCGTGAAAACATTCCTAGTGATAGGAGCACTGGGGATGAAGCAGGCTAAGGTGTCAGCGCAGGTCAGGCCTTGACTCAGGCTGATTTGGCTCAGTTCGGGATCTTGAGGCAGGTGGTGCCTGGTGGGCGCTGCTTCTTCGGCGGTGCCCCCTTCATCCCTGCCTCGCGAGGTTCTAACGCCGCAGTTGCGGTCAAGAACGTAGGTCGGCGGGCGATGGCGTTGCCCGAGGACATCCACGCGGACACCTGAGCCTGCTGGGGCTCTTCTGTTTACTTTATAATCACAAGTTTTAACCCTCCACTAAATAGATGATTCAACACGTGGTAGGAAGCTTCATCTTCAGTTACACCCAGATGAATCTAGCCCTGAGCTTTTCATCCCACTTGTACTTGGAGGAAACATTAAGAGCAAAAACATTTCTCCTGAACTTCCAATAGTTCCTAAGTAGCCAGAGAAATGAAATACTCACATTATATGTTGAGGGCGCTAAACTCAGTCTCTTCTATCCCCCATCTGGCCACCGACCAAGCTAGAGTCATTTCTAGCCAAGAGAAAACCCACAAATAGGACGACAGAATCATTCCACTTCGCTAAAGATAAGAAGAAATAGAGATATTCGCATACTTAAAATTTGTAGGAAAATAATGTAAAACGCAAAATGCTTGGAAATAGAAAAGGAAAAGTTGCCTAGGATACTGGTACCACCACTGTACTGCATTGACATGGAACATTTACTGTACGATGAGGCATTTGTGATAGACACTTTATGAGCATTATCTCATTGAATCCACTCAACAGTTCCTTATGGTAGATTGCCTTACCATTTTCATCCTAAAGCAGAAGAAAACGAAGTTTGGTGTTTGCTGATGGCACTTGAATGCCCTTGTCTTGATAGGGTTTAAACCTGTGATTTTTGTTTTCTTATATGACTATTTCTATAACATTGTTATAGTTGTAAGCAGCATATCTCATTTTTTTTCACTTAAAATTATGTACACTGAGTCACTTTTTTGTACCTGATCTTATACTACTTAATATCTATGCAATAATTAAGTTGGATATACAATGTTATTTAAGTTTGCTGCACATTTTTGTCTTTTTGACAATTTTTTAGATAATTGAGATTTCAAGAGACCTGATTTGTGCTAAACATTGCAGAATTGTTCCCCATATGAAGTTCTCCACTTCGCTCTACTTCATTCTGTTAGCACCAACATTTATGAAATCTGTATGTGTGAGCATATGTATGTACGTAGTAAAACATTCCAGAAGACTATGTATGACTTCATTTTCTGATACTGTATGAACACGAGCTTGTTCTCATTGGTGATTGTCAGAGAATGTGCAGGAAAGACAATCAACAACCAGAAGAGGAGACAGCTGAGCTTGAACTGAATGGTCTGTGAACAAACTCTGCCAGAGCCTGCTGCAAGCTAAGCAGCGGCCAGCGGCCAGCGGCCAGTGGAAGCCCTCAGCTGCAGGGGTGGTTCCTAAGACAGCAAGCTCACCGAGCTTCTCTTCCTCCCTTTCCTCACCTAATAGCCTCCCGAAGGTCTCAGGGGCCAGTTAGCAGTAGGACAATCACCATCTCTGTAGAGAATTTGGATGCCCTAAAAAAAAATAAAATTTCCTGTGAAGAGTCCGGTGGGGTTCTTTTTCTTTTGAAAGTAGGATCCCATCTGGATATGGTAGGCTCCATTACTGCATCACTATACATTCCCTTAAGTGGAAGCCACAAAATGATGTCAACAACAGATAGGAAGCTAAAACAAAGACAAAATGAAAAAAGGAAAAAAAAGAATACATCACCATAGAATCAAAAAAAAAAAAAATGTGCCCCTGAATAACCAGCACATAGGTGACAAAAAGAAAACACAAAAGCCTAATTGGTACGAGGGTTTCCTTGTATTAGAGAGAATATATGGTATTTGTCCTTTTGGGTTTGACTTATTTGTGAAGATACATTGCAATATGCACCCCCTACTTCCAAATAAAAAAAACGGACTCCCAATGAAAGTGTTGGACATGTCCAGACAATGGGATGCTGGAATGTCTGTCAGTGTCTGTACCAGCAATGTTGGGGCACACTTAAATAACAGACTGATGGAATTATAACTTCTTATGAAGGAATATACTATTGTAACAATACGGGGAAAATCAGCCGGGAGGTTGGGAATCTCAGACCCTATATAATTGTGCCATAAAATTCAAAATGAAAAAGAAAAAAAGTTACACAAATAAAGGAAAAAAAAAAAAAAGAAAAAGAAGCAGTGTCCCTCAGGCCTTCCTTAATCTTTGCTTGTGTCCCAGACTTCTTGTACTTGTAGGTCCTTTTCCTTTTTAATCCTGGCTCCTGCTGCACAGGCCCTCAGCAGGTGATCCTTGGGACAACCTTTCATTGGAATCTGACTGAAAGTTTGTGTGATCAGAACTTAATCTTCTGACAGATCTTGCAGATCTTGATATAAAAGAGCAATATTTGGTCTCTCTTGGGCCTTGGATGATATTCTGATAATTGGGATTTTTTTTTGGAGTATCTTCAGGCATGCTTTACCTAGAGTAAATGCTAATGAGCTTGTCACACAGCAAACGTGGATTCTGTAGACAACTGGTCGAGTTGAGTCATGATCACCATGAAGAATACTTGATATTGATCATTTTATAATAAAAATGATTAATTTGGGCAACTGTCTCTCAATTCCACTGTTTTCAAATAATGAGTTAAATATTTTGCAAGTGTAAACTTCTTTAAGTTTTTGTTAATCTTGCTACAAACTTTTTTTTGACAATGTGACTGGCAAGTTATGGTCTTTGAATACAGATTTGCTTTGAATAATATTAAGTATCTCCTCAAGGTTCATTTGAGGGACATGCTTTTTACCAAAATGTTCCAGTTGAAATATTATATGATTTCTGTTGTACCTTGTGTGCAGTCATGGACTTAAGAAAAGTCCCAGTTATAACTGATTATGAGAGCAAATGAGAGCCAGCTACCTAACTGAATTAAAACCTTGCTTTTCAAATGACATTAACAAGCCACGATCTAGTATCTTCCTGTTAATTTTAACAAACACATGCCGTCATAAATATTTTTATCTTCTAATCAATGCAGAACAGTATATATATATATGTATATATGTGTGTATATATATATATGTATATATGTGTATCAAGGCGCTACAGGGTATTTATTTGTTATTGAGGGTATGCAATCTGGCCAATTCCTAATTTTGCTAAGTTTTATGTCTTGAGCAAACCAGATCACTAAGAATCATTATTCTTGACCTGCCATTTCTTGACTCCTTAGGAAGATGTTTCTTTGCAGAGTTTCCTTAATATTTTCTCGGAAGGCTTAAAAACCACATAGACATGTGGAAGCTGCTCTATCCTTTGCTATACTAATATTACTATTCACAGTCAGTGAACAGGTACAAACATAAAAGCCATGCCTCTTGGGTGCCATCTTAGATGCTGGGAATGTGGGAATCTCAGCAGCGAATGAAACGTAGCTTTCATGTTCACTTCTAGTTGGCTTCATCACACAGTCTAGTACATTGAATTGTACAAGAACAACTGATACCTATCATTGCAGAAAGGACTGTTTCAAACTAGTATTTCAAGAATCTGATTATTCAGGATAAATGGAAATATTTCTGTCTAACAGACACTTTTAATCATTAAACAACTGGGCTTTCCTTTTTAGTCTGACCAGCAGAAAACTTAAGAGCAAAAGCTGTGATTCAATTTTAGGGATGTCTGGTATCATAAAACCAACATATTTAAGTTTTTATTTTTCTTTTGATTTCATAAAGACAGTGTTCCAAAGTTCACATATTGAATGGCTCAATAGGCTTGATTGAACCATGGAATATTGACATTTCTGTAACTCGAAGCGGTCTGATATCAACAATTTCATATTGTTCAACCTATACACACAGATATACTATCAACTTCAAATGATTTGGCTAAAACAAATTTTAATTAGTTCTAATTATATTATTGTAGACATTCTTAATCTTTTTCATATCATATATAGAATATTAAAATTTATGACTTATTACCTATATATTCAGTTAATATACATTGGAAAGAATTACATTATAAAAATACTGCATATCAAAAACATGCAAGTGTAAACATAGGGAAAGAAAGAAATAGTTTTTAGCAAGAGAAGCTTCTAGGAATTTTTCTGTTTATATGAGTTTCCAGAAAGCTGCTTGGAGCAGTTATTTTAAACTCCCCCTTGGACACGTGAATGGTTTTGTTTGCAGAACAGTTGCAGAGTACTTGAGAAAGGTTGCTTCTTCTGACAGCCTTTGGTAAACAGAGAAGTGGGCCCATTTCATGGAGGACAAGGAGGCTCGTTGGAGGGAAGGATCTGTGATCTCACGGTTTTCAGCTGGCCTGCCTTCAGCCAAGGGCAGTGCTTACTTGTAGCCTCAGACTCAGCAGAGTTGGACACACCAGTCCTGAATAAACATTACTAAACCTCGGATGGTTGACACTTGCGAATGCATCTATCATGTATGAATAGCAATTTTACCAACTGGGAATAAGGAAGTTCCAGTATGGCACGCTATGATATTGGTCATGTCAAGAACTTTTTGGAATTAAAATGAGAAAAATCATACCAGAGGTTTTTCCATATTCTATGTCCTTCTATTGAACGTCCATTCTTATGCTACTTCTCTAACTTTAGGCGTGAAAAGTTAGCATACTTCAAACATTCCTGGCGTTCAAATTTTGTGATGAAGGTCGATCTCAGTGGGAAGCACAGTGAATGTCTAGGGAATGGAGCAGTGCCCTCTGAATGTAACATGATTTGTTAAGCCTTTGCTATATGTCACGTGTGTTTGGGTATATACATGAGATCATCAAAAAATTTCATGGAAAGTACATATTATGAAAAAGCTATGCACGAGTTCTAATTTTTTCCCCATTTATTATTATTACTATGCTACAGTTCCATAGGCTTTGGGATTTCCTTTACCCTATCCCCGAGGTGACCTCCTCTATATTATTACAATAGTATAGTTCTTCATAAACAGTCATAAGTCCATCATTTGGCTCTTGTTGGGGTTCTGGGCTGTGAGATCCACCCCGTCCCCGCACTGCCTATTTGGTGTCTACTGTTCTGTCTTTGCTCCTGATCAAATCAAACAAATCATTAGGATGGACAATTCTTTTTCTGGGTTCACCCTCTGAGCTCCCAGTGGACACTTCTTTCCACCTTGCTGTTGGTGGAGCTCAGATTACTGCTTGCTGACTGCCACTGGGTGTCTGGTCACTGCAATACCACATCATTGTCTTTCCAGTGTCTGCCAGTCTCCAGGTGCCCCTCTGCCATCAGCCTGTCCCTCCCTATTTCCTGGAATGTGCCCTCTGTGCCTCATCCTGGCTAATGATTCCCCATCTCTTTAAATGTGTCCTTACCCTATCCCATCATCTTCTTTCTCTCAAAAAAAATTTTTTGTACCAAAGATAAATTCATATTTCAATTCTGTTTGTCCACACAGCTTTGAATACCTATCAGCTAGTTACACAATTTATTTCCATGGACCTCTACATAGGATCTGAACTGTTACATCACTGAACTAGCAGTGTGGTCTGAAAAGGGCGCATGTACACGTGTTTGTCTTCAGGATCCTTAAGACCTTCCTTAAGGCATGCAGTGTATAAATGGTGTAAAGTATGAAGTGTAACCCTAAGATGATACAATTGCACTGATGCTTATGATAGGAAAACTCTTCAACTACGAATACCTTGGATTTCTTTCTTTCCCCCTCATTTCATCTATTCTTAGAACTCTGGAAGTGTTCTTGTATGTTCTAGAAATATATGTGTACATATACATATGTAAATATGTTCGTATATCACTGGAGGGAGTGGCACAAATGACTGCAAACAGCAAGTACTGGGTAGCAACTGCAAAAAGTGAAACTCAGTTGTAGACCTGTGGGTGACACAGCTTAGAAACCTGACTTAAGGAAAATCTGATATATACACACATTCCTATAATCTCAAGAAATGAGGAGCCTAAAAAAGATGTCTGTATTTGATGATCAACCTACCAGTGTTTGCTTTTCCACCTTCACATCCAGTATACAGTATTTAGTTTAAATTCAGATGGTTAATATCATGTCAAGAAAGAATTCATGGCATCCCAAAGTGTCCTTTTTGCGTGTATGTGTGAGCACAGGATAAGATCTATTTGGTCGTTTGGACTCAAATTCATATTCATCACCTTTATGTTTCTTTAACACCAAACTGCTCTCTGCTCATTTTGAAACAATTTTAAAGTATATAAGTCTCTGTGAAAAAATTAACACTGTACTTACGTGTGTCCACTGAATCTTTACTCTTCTTGCGGCGACTAATATAATTTCGACTATAATTAAAATCTGAGCCACCAATGAAAGGCTCCCACTGTTAATGTTTGTCCTTATGGTGCATCCCAGCTGGAACAGATACAAAACATCCACTAGTTAAATGCAGAACAGACACATCGGCACGAGGCCATCAGCTTGCATTTTTGAAAAGTCTGTTAATTTGTTATGACTTATTAATTCTTTGGAATCCGATGCTACTCTCTAAGAGTTTCTAGCATCCAAATTTGTCAAAATCACAACGGGACGCCAAGGCTCTCTTTTGTTGCATGCAAACACTTAATCCACTCATTAAACACAAAATTCCAAACTACACCAGACAACAATGTGCTGATCTAATGGGGAAGAAAAGTTGGCACTAAGTGTTAGGAGAATTAATCGATATTGACGCCTCAGAGAGGCTCAGCAGCCTGTGTGCTGCTCATGAAACCAGACATGTGGATTACTGAGTTTCTGAAATGTAAAAGCTTTTTCCTGGGCTCTGAAAAAATCATGTATCTTTGTATTTAAAAAAAAAATAATGAACCTGGGCCCTTCCTTCTTCACATTTATATTACAACATTTTTCTTACCTTGTTCCACTATCATGCCAAATTCTGCTCAGTCGGGGTAATGAAAGTTTTATTCTTGTCTTACACTTACTTTTAATGGGACAGGCTCTAAACTTGCAAAAAACATTTTTAACAGCTTTTTAAAAAAAGATTTATTGTGTTTTTTATTAGAAAGTCAGATATACAGAAAGGAGGAGAGTCAGAGGGGAAGATTTTCCATCTAATGATTTACTCTCCAAGTGGCCTCAATGGCAGGAGCTGAGCCAATGCAAAATGCAGAGCCCAGACCCTCTTCTGGGTCTCTCATGTGGGTGCAGGGTCTCAAGGCTTTGGGCTGTCCTTGACTGCTTTCCCAGGCCACAAGCAGGGAGCTGGATGGGAAGTGGGGCTGCCAGGATTACAAATGGCACCCATATGGGATCCCAGTGTGTGTAAGGTGAGGACTTTTAGCAGCTAGTTGGACCCTAACGGTTGTGTGTGTGTGTTTAAGATTTATTTTGTTATTATTTATTATTTTTTAATTGGAAAGGCAGATATACAGAGAGAAGAGATACAGAGAGAATGATCTTCCATCCACTGGCTCAATCCCCAAGTGGCTGCAACGGCTGAAGCTGAGCCAATCTGAAGCCAGGAGCCAGGAGGCTTCTCCAGTCTCCCATTTGGGTACAGGGTCCCAAGGGTCCCAAGGGTCCCAAGGTCTTGGACCATGCTTTCCTGCTTTCCCAGGCCACAAGTAGGGAGCTGGACAGGAAGTAGGGCAGCCTGGGCACAAACCGGCACCCACATGGGATCCTGATAGATTCAAGGCAAGGATTTAGTCACTAGGCTATCACGCTGGGCCCTGTTTTTTTCTTAAACCATGAATATGGTATGGATTCTATAAAACTGGTTTTCTTTTTTAAAGATTTATTTAGACCGAGTTAGAGGCACAGAGGTGGGGTGGGTGGGAACTTTTCGTAGTTCATATCCTCAATGACCACAAAAAAAGCTAGGACTGAGCCACGACAACAGAAGTCAGGAAATGAGCATTGTTTACGTCTCCCACATGGGTGCAGGGCTCACGCCTTTGGGCATAGCATGGGCCATTGCACTTGCTTGGGGAGTGAATCATTGGACGGAAGCCCTTTATCTGTCTCTCTTCCTCTGTGTATATCTGACTTTTCAATAAAAATAAATAAATAAAAAAAAGAAGCAATCGGGCCCGGCGCGGTGGCGCAAGTGGTTAAAGGTCCTCGCCTTGCACACGCCAGGATCCGTAAGGCCGCCGGTTCTAATCCCGGCAGCCCCGCTTCCCTTCCAGCTCCCTGCCTGTGGCCTGGGAAAGCAGTCTAGGACGGCCCAAAGCCTTGGGAACCTGCACCCGCGTGGGAGACCCGGAAGAGGCTCCTGGCTTCGGATCGGCATAGTATCGGCCCGTTGCACTCACTTGGGGAGTGAATCATCGGACGGAAGATCTTCCTCTCTGTCTCTCCTCTCTGTATATCCGCCTTTCCAATGACAAAACAATAAAAATAAATCTTAAAAAAAAAAAAAGAAGCAATGGCATTTCCCCCTTAGTGATAATCTTGATTCTAACAAACTTTTCTCTCAAACTGTTGCAGTCATTCTGACTTACCAGTAGTGGAGTATGCCTCCTATCTGCTGCTATTGCAAGAACTCCAGATGTGACATACTAGGAACAAAAAGAAGCATAAATAAGTGTATTTTCATTGTAACCTAAGAAACTCTTCTTAGAGTTTTCAATACCATTCTTGAAGCCCATAAATATCACAGTTTAAGAGGACTTTAGCTGAACTTTTCAAATTTCTATTCTAGTTTCGTGATAGCTCTTGGAAAAATCATCCAGCAATAAACCCCATGGATCTTTACTACAGACATGGAGAACCATGATTGGAATAGTGTGAAACTCATATTTGGAATGGAAAAAATGTTTTATTTAAATGTGTCTGCTATCAATGTATTCTGATTGAACTTAGAAATGTTTAAAAGAAATGTAGTATATGATTGGATTTATGAGTACGATGGAATAATATTTGCTCATACCAAGGAGGTCCATTTGACTTGGGAGAATTCATGATGGACACACATTATGAACCAAGAGGGGAGAACAGAGTGGAGGGGAGGGAATTTAGGGGAGGGAAGAGCCCGTTGCCAACTAAATTGTATCAAGAAATAATAATAAAAAAAAGAAAGGTATGTCCCATGAGATATGAGGATTACAATATTTCAAAAGTTCTCAGAACTGAATGTGTCGGGGTTTCATGAAGGATCACAACTGAGTCTCTTGTTCTCTAGCTTTCCTGGAAATAGTAGATATCATTGCTGTAGGAGCAGGAGAATTTGGTTGCCTAACACTCACACAGATATTTGAACACTGATATCTTTAATGCTTGATGGGTTAAGGGTGAAGGCTTGATGTACTTACAGTGTCCACAAAGCGGGTCTGTTGGGAGATATTTTGGTCCCTGGGGATGACCAAAATGGTTAGCACCAGAGTTTTAGTTAATATTTGAATTCAAGTTTGGCATGGATGCTCTCTTTCTGCTTCCTGCGTTACCATTTGATTGTTATTCTGATGCTTCCTCCTATAGGTCATTGTGCTCCTAAACTGTAACCTCCAAACTGAGAGTTGAACGAGCTCTTTCCATTCCAAGATATTCCTTGAAGGATTTCAAAATAAAGCACACTAACTTAATCACCAAATACTTCTGTCACTAAGACATTTTACTTGTAGGCAGTTAGCAAAGAAAAACAAATTCATTTCTAAAAAAAGGAAACACCAAGAGCACAAGTAGTCAAATCAAAATAAAGAAACAGGAACACATCAAACCGAGAAGTTTCTGTACAACAGAGCAAATGATCCACAAAGTGAAGAAGCAACCAACAACAACCACAAAAAAAAAAAAAATGCACACCACACAAGAGATAAGGGACAAATATCTAGGATTTACAAAAGCCTGCAGAAACTCAACAACAGCAGAACAAACAATCCTGTGCAGAAATAGGTGAAAGAAATGAGCAGACATCTTTCAAAAGAAGAAATTCAAATAGCTAATGCACATATGCAAAAATGCTCAGGCTCTCTAGCTATCAGAAAAATATCATTAAAAACCTCATTGAGGTTCCATCTAATTCCAGTGAGACTGGCCAGCATTCAGAAGTGTACTAACAACACCTGCTGGCATGGGTGTGGGGAGAAAGGCGCCCTCCTCCATTATTGGTGAAGTGTATGCTAGTACAGACATCATGAACATCAGTATGGAGAGTGCTAAGACAATTGAAAATTAATTTACTATGTGACACAATTATCCCTTGCAACATATCCAAAGGAAATGGAACATGCATATGGGAATGTGACCTGTAATCCCGTATTTACAGCAGCACAGTCTACAAGAGCAAAGACATGGAAACAACACAGATGTCCACTGAAAGAGAAATGGATAAAGAAACCATGGTACATCTACTCTATGAAAACAAATTAAATTCTACCATTTGCAACAAAATGATCCCCGCTATGACAATTATGCTCAGTGAAACAAGCCAATCCCCAAAGAACAAATATCATATGTTTTCTCCGCTATATGACAATTTTCATGCAAAATACAAGATCAACAGATACATAGACAAATAAATAATTATATATATTCATCTAGAGGAACTGTATAATGGAGACTATCATACTAAGAAGTGAGGATACAGTGCAGCATGCATCTGTACTCCCAAATGAAAGATGGACTCCCAATGAAACCATTAAATACATCTTGAAAATAGGATGCTAGACTTTCCACTATTGTCTATACCTACAATGTCAGTGTACACTTAAGTAGAAGAATGATGGACTTGTGAAGGTTTTTGAAAAACTATATAATAATAATAATAATAATAATACAGGGCAAATCAGTGGGGGAGGGGATCCCTGAGCACTTGGAATTGTATAATAAGAAATAAAAAAATAAAGAGTTTAAAAAATTTTAAAGGGGAAAAAAACCAAAGGAGGTACACTTGACATATTGTGGATGGATCTAGATGTTATGCTAAGTTAAATAAGCCATACAGGGAAAAAGAAACTACTGTATGATTACACTTGTATTTTAAATCCTTAGGTTCAATCATTGCTGGGTCCATGCAGTAGGTGTGAATAACATGAAGTTGTAAGGGGAACAGTTCCCCTGCTTGGCACGGCCCAGGGGAGCTTCCAGCTGTTTGGCAGTGCCCGAGGGATTTCTCTCTGACCACCTTGACGCAGTTTCACCCCCTTTCACATGGACACTCAACCACCCAACTAAGAATTTTTGTAATCTATTGAGGCACTGTTTGCTCCTGTAAGATGGCTTTTACAACCAACATGAGCTTAGGAGTTAATGTTACTGATAATGTCTTGGTGAGTGGGCCTTTAACTGTGCACAGGAGTACAATTAAGCCCATGCTGTTTCCAGAGACTTTATTGTGTGCCTACCCATTGCCATAAAATCTGGCTCAAACATTTAGCATGTTTTCTGGGAGATGGCTTGATAAGAATTTTACAAACTAATGGAAGTGCTGAGAGTATGGGCTGCAACTGCTATGACAAAAAATATAGCTACTGGGACCCTAAAAGCTATCTTGTTACTGGGACCCTAAGGGCTATCCTGTTATAGTTACTGTGACCCTAAAGGCCTTCCTGCTATGATAAAGAACATAGCTACTGTGACCCTAAAGGCTATCCTGCTATGGCAAAAATATAGTGACTGTAACCTTAAAGGTTAGCCTGTCCTTGCAACTCTGTAGAACATAGAACATGTAGTTGCTTTAGCTGCCTCCATAATTTTTTAACTAGAGGAAATATAGGGTGATTTTACTAACATCATAAAGATATACTTTTGATTACTGTTTGATCATTTATGAGGTTGTAGAACCTGCAGTTGTAGAGGGATTTAATGTTGGAAACTTTTTATCTTAAATCTTTATTTTTTTTCTCTTTTGATGTATTTCTCCCATTAAGTGATGGATAAGTTGTAGAATAAGAATTGTAGTAGGAGTGTGTTACTGAATAAGATGTGTTGTCTACTGAGAAATTCTTAGCTGCGACATCAGAATGGATAATGCCCTCTCTTAAGGTGAAACCATTTGTAGAATTATCTTTGGAAGCATTCACTTGCCCATTGTAGAGTTGAAACTTAAATGGAGTAAACATGGCTCATTGTCAATTGCAATTCTTTCTGCCGTTATAACTCTTGCTTTACTTCTTTAGTTAACAAACTGTGTGAGCTTGCAGGCCCAATGGCCTTTAGTGCCAATGGCCCCTAATCCCCATAAGCCAAGGCCTCAGACTTACTAACCCACACATAATTCAAGGTAGGGGTCTGGCTGTCACAGGTGTGCCAAGGATAGAGCCCAGACTTGAGGAGAGCAGGTGGGGCTGGCAAGCCGAGATAAGCAAGGAATGTGGAATCCTTCCTCACTCACCTCTCAAGCTGTTATAAATCGTATCCCCCCCCCCCCCTGAAGCTATGTCAAAATGCCCTAAAAGAAAACCGTGTGTTGCTTCTGTATAAATAAAGCAGACAGCTTTCTCGCATGGTCCACAATGATCTTGAAATTGTAGTGGTCCATCTCTTTTCTTCTTTCTATGCCTGTTTCACGCACCCTTCTCAAGCTCTGAACTCAGCTGGAGGTGGACTCCGGCAAATCATGTCATTCCTCAGTTCACCAGCCTGAAATGGCTGTCAATGATTCTATGAATATATACACACGTATATGTTGACTGTAGATCCTTAGATCATCACGTCTCCTGTCATACAGCTCACTTCTTTTCCTTCCGATATTTTCTCAGTTCATTCCATTTAAACAGCCTCTTGTTTGTTCAGTAAACACCAAGACTTGTTCTACCCTTTCTTGTACACTATCATTCCAGGAATCCCTCTGGCTTATCACTCCGATGTCTTCACATTTTGTCTCCTATTTCTCCATCTCATCGAGGATTAAGCATTGAAAAAATACTCCAACCTGTGCTGACCTCATGCCTTAGTACCCTCCTGTATGTTTCCCTCACCCAATCTTTTTTTAATCTTCTGCTGTTTATCTTTCATTAAAAGGTAAATGGGTCAGGAGTAAGGATCTTGAGCTTTTAATTTTGTATTTCTTCAGATATAATTGACAAATACTGCATATAGTTATGGTCTGTAGGATGTTTTAGTGCATATGTATTGTAAAATGATTACTACACATCCTTATTTTGCATTATTCTCTTTGGTGAGAGTGTTTGATATCTACTCTACCAAAAAATTTCAGTGGGCATCTGTATAAAATAAGCTTCATACCAAGCCATATGCCTTCCTTTCCTCCATCTTTCAGCACCTGGAAACATCCTTCTACTCTCTGCTTCTGTGAGTTTGACTGCTGCTTCTTGTTGATCCTGCGTGTCAAGCGAAGATCATGCAGTCTTTCTGGGTTTGCCTTACTAAATTATCTCCCCTAGGACAGTGCTCTCCATGTTCCTGAATGCTGTTACAAAAATTTCAGGCTGTGTGTACATGTGTGTTTGACAGAGAGAGAGAGAGAGGCTTCAAAAATTTCATGGAAAATGAATATTTAGAGAGAATTATGCATGGATTTCAAAATTTTTTGCACCAAATTAAACTTACTTTTTAACTCAATTTTCCATAAACTTTCTGATGTTTGTGGTATTTGCGTGTGTATGTGAATGTGTGTTGCATTGTTTAAACCATTAATGGACACTTAAACGGATTTGTTCTTTTTAATACAGTGACTAACACTGCCATGAACATGGGAGATCTCTCTTTGCACACTGATTTCATTTCCTGTGGATATATAACTGGAAGAGCAATTTCCAGATCAGGTGGTAACTCTTTTTTGTTTTAAATGAATATTTATTCATTCATTGTAAAAGTAGCAAGGTAGAGATAGAGAAAAAAGAGAGATTCCTTCATCGGCTGCCTCTCTCCCAAGCACTCACAGCAGTTGGGTCTGGGCTGGGCCTGGCCCAAGACAGGAACCAGGAATGTCACTCAGTTCTCCTACACAGGTGGCAGGGACCCAAGTATTTGGGCCATCATTTTCTGCCTCTTAGGTGAAACCAGATTGGAAGTGGAGGAGTCAGGACCCAAAGTGGCACTCTGGTGTGGGCTGGGTATTGTGAGTGGGGGCTTAACTTTCTGTGCCATAATACCCACATATATTTTTAATATTATGAGAAATCTTACACTGTTTTTCATTAATTCTGGTACTATTTTATGTTCTTATAATTAGTGATCAAGGGTTTCCTGTCCTTTGTAAGTTGCTAATGCTTTTTTAAAAAATTATTATTTCATTTTATGACACAATTTCACAGGCTCTGGGATTCCCCCAATCCCTCCCCAAGCCCTCTCCCCATATTGAATTTCTCCATATTGTTACAGTAGTATAGCTCAAAACCAGTCATAATTCCTTCATTGTGGGCATGGGCCATGCAGAGAGTCCAGCATCTAATTATCCAGATAAATTCAACAGTTTCATTGGGAGACCATCCCTTTCTGAAAGTAGAGCTGTCAGAATATAATGCCCCTCCTATGAAAAGCCACAACACCAATTCAACAACAGGAAGAAACATGGAAATTTACAACATCATGAAGTTAATTAACATGGCATTGAGTGACCAATCTGTTAGAAAATGCAAGTTCTTATCCACATCCTATAACTACTTCACTGACAACTCAATTTTAGTATATACACAACTGACTGCTATAAACCTTAAAATGGTTATAGGGTAATATTCAGCTGTCTCGTGTCTATTTTCATTTTTATATTTAGCAGCTGATAGTATTCAAGTGTGATTTTTATTGAACTTCACAAATTTTAGGATAGTCCAAACAGGCTTACAACTCTAATAAGCCATATGATAACATCTGAGGAGCAGAATAACTTTAGGAGGGCTGTGCAGAGAAATTTCAATACCTTAGTGAGGAGTAACTGATCTTTGTGTAAGGTATATGGGAGTCCAAACTGACTTTGTCCTGTCTGTTTTAAGCTTTCCTTATTGGTCTCTGTCTGTCTAGCTGAACTAACTTTTGAGGTTCTGGAACAACCATGATGGTCATTGCAAGAGAGGGTGGGGAGCCAAAGTTGGAACTAAGTAAGGACCAGAGAAAGCTCTTCTCCTGAGTCTGGAAGGAAGTTTTCTGTTCTTCTGTTTCTGAGGACCGCTCAGGGCTCCTGGCTGTTGCTAATACTTTGTTTTTAAAAATATCTTTCTTTTAAAAATATCTATTATTTGAAAGGCAGAGTTACAGAGAGAGGGCAAGACAAATAGAAATCTACCTACTGATTTACTCCCCAAATGGCTGCCATATCAGGGAATGGGGCCAGGCAAAACCAGGAGTTAGAGATTCCATCCAGGTGCCATGGGCCCAAGTACTTCAGTGATCTTCTGCTGATTTCCTAGGTGGATTCTCAGGCAGCTGGCTTAGAATAGAGCAGCCAGCATGTGAATTGGCCCCAAATGGGATATCAACATCATAGGTAGCAGCTTACTCTGATGTACCATAAATAGCATCAGCCCTGAATAAAAATTGTTATCTTTTGTGTTTAAACAAATAGCTTAATGTTTGAGAGAGAGACACCAACTCTCTCTTCTGTTCCCTATTTTACTTGAAAAATGCCTGCAATAGTCAGCATGAGGGCCAGATCAAAAGCCTGGAGCCAGGGACTTAATCCAGGCCTCCCACATGGGTGGCAGAAACCCGATGTCTTGAGTCACTGCCTGCCGCCCCCCAGGATCTGTGTTAGCAGGAAGCTCCATCAGGAGCACAGCTGAAACTTGACTTTAAGCACTTCAGTGTGGGAGGCAGGCGTTGCACAGGGCATCTTCACTGCTGTTCCACATGTCAGCTCCCTTGTGTCTCTTTGATAGAATCCATTCTAACAGATATGAAGTGATATTTTGTTGTGGTTTTAACTCGCATTTTCCGAATAAGTAATGATGTTGAGAATTTTCTTATATACATGTTTATGATGTGTATGCCTTTGCTTGAGAGATGCCTATGTATGTTTTTTGCCCCATTTAAAATCAGGTTTGGTTTTCTGCTATTGCACTGTTTGATCCCCTTACATATTTTGAATATCACCATCTTTTGAAATGCATGGCTGTAAATATTTTTTTCTCACTGTCTCTTCACCATGACCACTGTTACCATTAGGAATCTTACCATCCTTTGGTCACAGGATTTACTCAACAGACTCCATGAACAGAAGAATTTCATAAATACATTTATCATTTAAAAGTATCTTCCAATACCCAAGAAAGAATTCACTGGCATTCAGTAGGGTTTGCATATTTTCAAGGACTGTGCTTGTTAGAGAAGTTGCTGAAGATATTAAATAAATGTATAAATAATATTCAGCAAGAAACTTTACTCACAAAAAGGAATGACCAAAATGGGTATCCCGTAAACAAGATGACAGGTGTGTAGTTGAATGTAAATGAGTTATACTGTCTGGTAAATAAGCGTAGCCAGAGGTATCCTATAGCAAAGTTGATCAGACCAATCATTACTTGGATAGCCTACAAGAAAAGAATGTTACAGTCAGTTAATCATATTTAAAGAATTACAAATCAGATGACAGAAAGTGCTTGGGGGAGTATTCAGCCTGTGTGTTTCTGATTCACAAGCGTCCCGGTGAATACTCTTGTTCAGTCCTTTAAATGATCACAAAGTGTAGAGAAGCCATGATGATGGAAGAAGGTATCAGCCATGAAAGGACTTGGAATACTTGCTGGTAACTTGCAGGGATTAGTCATCAGTCATTAGTCATGAAGGTTTTTTGCTTGTTTTTTTAACTTTTACTGGTGTATTTTCTTTCTTGTAAATGAAGTTGTCTATCAGTTTATTTATGGACTGAGTTAGGGGTTTAGTCAGGGGGATAAAAACCCCAGAGAACTGAATTTACTACCCTAAGCTCTAGCTCCTTTTTCTAATACATTTCCATCACCCCTTGGAACCAGTTAATGGGACAATGATTTTCAACACAAATGGAATAGAACTCACTTGCAATCAATTGTGTTGAACACTCAGACTCTGGCCCAAACAGTTTAGGCAATTTTCACATTTTTTCTTATAGTGCTGACTGTGGATCTGATTGAATCCTCTGCTACTTTAGGTGCAACATGTAGAAAAATCTGGCATGTTAGGTTTGGTTAGGATAAGAGAAAAAGAATAGTGGCTCAGAATATTACTTTTCTGGGGGAAAACATGAAGAGTGTGCTAAGGACATTGCCAGGTCCTTAAAACCCTGTGATCTAGAATATCTGTTGAATATTATCACTGACCTCATCTTACATACAACATAGCTTCAAGATGTCTTCAAACTCTTTATACAAAGGGAAAAGCATAGTGCTAGAATGTTTGGGACTCAGTTTATCAGCTCTCTTCCACTGAGTAGATGAGATAGAGGAATCAATGTCTCCTTTCTTAAATATTCTGAACTTGCAACACCCAAGCCATTCACTCACTCAAGTGGCACTTACTGCTTACCCCAAGTGTTCTGATTTCTTTTGCCATCAAAAGTGTGGGATACTGGAATATTATTCAAAATGTGGCATAGACGTTTGGAAGAATGCATGGAATATATCCCTAAAGGAAAATGTAGAAAAAAATAAGCAATACTTTTTTTTGGATAAAACACTTAAAAGTCATTAGGGGTGTATTGTTGCTTTTTTGCATTTTTCACACTTCCCTGAAACAGTTAAAATAATTCCCTGGTGATGCTTTCTTGAACACAGCTAGCATCTTGGCAATTCTAGCTGTCCTAATAGATTTTATTCGTATTTAGCAACTTTAGATTATGTTTGTGAGTCTTCAGTATTCTTGGGTATAAATAACATAGTTGATTGAAGCAAAAACTGGTACTAGTGAGCTTATAGCATCATTAAAAATATTAAGTTCATCAAATATTACTCAGAACAAGACCAAAGGTCTAGACTGAACAAGAGGTGTCTCTGCCATTTCCCACCCCAAAACACTGCCACAGACTGCTTTAATGGTCAAACACGCCTCTCTCTCCTGGGTCATTATATATCAACCATTAATCATCAAGGATCGGTTACCAAATGGATGTATAAAACTCATCAGACTTGTAAAAACTTGATTATCAGATCACCCAGACCCCACTTCAGTGTTTGAATACTATTTTTTGGTCTCTTTCTGAAGTTTTGCCAAAATTCACACGATTCATTTGAATTATTTCTTCGAGTTTAGGTCATCTTGAACTTATTCCTAGATCACTGCATCAGTAATTGTGGTGTTTTGTCATGCTAGCCTAACTCATGGAAAGATGCCTGGAGGTTGACACTCCAGTGACTCCCGCCATTTCTATGGGTGTTTCAGATTGGAAGACGGCATGATCTGCCTGCAGCTTTCCTCAAAGTTGAGCAGAACACTTCTCCAAAGGTTCAGAGAAAATATGGTAACTTCATGACACCTAACTGTCTCGTAGCCAAAACTGGGGCTGTGTACCCATGTGAGAGATCCAGAAGAAGCTCCTGCCTCCTGGCTTTGGATCAGCTCAGCTCCAGCTGTTGTGGCACCTGGGGAGTAAAGCAGTAGATGGGAGATTTGTCTCTCCTCTCCGTAAATCTGACTTTCCAATAAAAATAAATAAATCTTTAAAAATCGGGGGGCACACCCTAAATACAGCTTGCTGCAAGATTGAAAAAAAACCCTTGATAACCACATAAATGAATCTAAAGTTATAAACCCATAACCAACATGCTGCAAAATTAAAATAGAAAAATCCGATTCCCAAGTAAAAGAACTAGATCACAGTGAGATTGCCAAGCCAGAAAATCCATGTGGAAATCACGTTTTTATATTTCTAGATGGCTGCTCTTGCCCTCCAGCTACAGGGAACACTCCTTCATGTAGTTCTGTACAGCTGGGCATGTCTTAACCTACACTGCACTTTCCTCATGTGGCACTTCATTATTCACAGCCAGTGACCTATCCACCACTAGGTGACATCAGATTCCTGGTTTTCTGAACTACACTTCACTTCTGTAAAAACTAGCGTTGCAGGGCCCGACTCCAGCAAAGCATTTGTAAACTGTAGGATTTTGTTAGTTTCTTGCCAAATCAATCTGATCAATGTCTCCGGTTGTTATTGCATTCTGCATAAACGGCTGGATTTGTTTATATTAGGCATGTGTTTGGGAAGGTCAGCTTTAACATGTAGTATAGGTTCACTGGCACTGAATTAATTTGGGGGGGGGGCCTTTAATTGTTAATACAGACCAGCACAATCATTCTTCAGAGAATACATATCCAGCGAAGCCAAGGTTGACTGGGGCGTGTAGCATCAACTAAGCAGGCTTGAGAAGGCAAACTGATTTTGATATGGAGGATTTTTACAAGAGTCCCTTTGGACATGGGGACTTCTAGTGTCCAGCTCCAAGTGTACAGCAGAACATCTAATCACGACAAAAGCTTCTCTCAAGCTGTGCTTGGTAGAGCATCCAAGGATGGGAAAACACAATGAGGACAATTCTAACTCACTTTGTTTGGAAATCAACCATGCCTATGGTGAACACTGTTTACTAGTTTCTATGACAAAAACAAAGGTCTATCTCCTAGGCCACAGAGAATGTAAAACGGGGAGGTGGGAATGCAGGGATTATTATTGCCACAGCCTATTCTTTGATTATGGGACATCTAAGTCAATACATCTTTTTTTTTAATGTTTGCCTGTGAATCAGCCAACTTGTGTCTGAATGGGTGCTGTGCATTTAAAAAAAGGATCATGTATTCAAAAACACACAATGGAAAGGTATAGAATAAATTAAAAGTGCCAGGGTATAGTGAGGGGCTCCTCCCTCCCTCTAAGTGGTTTGGGAAATGCTCTATGGAGACGTTGGGAGCACTTGCTCTCTATGGATGCTCATTTTTTTCCCTGACACCTGTGACAAATCAGCACAGACCCCACACTCACGTGTACTGTGAATCATTCCGCAGCGGTGTGCTAAATTTCAGAGCCTTGTGGCCCGCGGAGCCCAATGGGCACTGCCTCCTCGGTGGGGCCCCTCATCCCACCTGCCTCGCGGGGTTCTAACGCCGCGGTTGGGGCCAAGAGCGTGCCTTGGAAGGCGAGAGCGTTGCCCCAGCGTTGCACCCACACTTGAGTCATCCTCTGGGAGCTCCGGCAGCTTGGCTGATCTCAGAGGCTGCCGGGAAGATTGGGAGGTCTTGGACTGACACAAAGGCGCTCCTTCCCAGCTGTGTGGGCACCATCCCAGTCCTTGGTGTGTCTTCGCGTCTCTATCTGCACACTGATCACGTGGCAGTCGCGTTGCTTAACTGAGGAGACAGTCCCCTTGAGGAACTTTAATAATCGGAAGCTCCAGCACACACTTCAGCGGGGTGCGGGTACGGCTTAGACTTAGCATCTTGAGCTCTTAGCGTTTTCTTTTGTGGAGTGGGTAAGGGATCCCTGGTCACACACTGTGGCTCTTGGTGAAAGATTTTGGGGGCCAAGCCTTTTTACAAACATCCTGCACTGCTTCCAGCAGGCACTTTTGTGCTGAACCCGACTTTATTCCTGTTTCACACCAAAGTCTGGACTAAGTTCTCAAACAGTTTTCATTAGATGGCTAACTATGAGTAGCATATGGGAATGGTATCTGTTGAGTTTTTATGCTTGGTGTTTTGCCGATTATTTGATTTTCATTGGGTGCCAAGTATGTGCCTGGCATTGTTCCCAATGTTAGGTGGGCATTGGACAGTGAAAGGGTGAAAACAACCTGCCTTCTTGTAGATCTTACATTAAGTGGGCCTGTCAATGGGGGCGTTCTGGACAGTTCTCACTACAAGGAGGACCCACGATCACAGACCTAGGGAAGGTGAAGGCGAGACCCTCACGGACATCTGTTGAGAAAAGATACCTGGCAGCTGGATCAGCGTGGGAGGGTTTCCCAGGAGGATTTGGCTAAGGCAGGCAGTGGGGAGAAGGGGCTGCTGGGGGAGGAAGATCATGCAGGGACTTGGCACGACCCGAGAGTGAGATGAGGAGTATTTTTCTTTAGATATGTTAAATTTTTGAGAAGAACAAATATATCGAGAAACCAAAATGCAGAAAAAGATATGTTGAATTCCGTCTTAGTCATTACCCAGCTTGAACATCTATCCTTCACAACTTTATTTTACCAGCTATCCTCCTTGTCATCTTTGTAACTTTTCCTGGACCAGGCGACACATTGTTTCATCTTCAAATATTCCAGTATGTGTTCCAACAGGAGAGAGAGGAGGTTTTTTTTTGTTCACTTTTAAAAGAAATGTCATTATTAGATTTAGTAAAGTTATCAAAGGTTACTTAATCTTACCTAATATTTAAGTTTTCTGGTTGTCTCAGAGAAAGTGTTATCATAAATGGGCTTGTTTGAATTACAATTTAAATAAAGTCTGATTATTTCACTTGGTTACTTTATCTGTTAAGTCATACTAATCTATTTACGATTCCTCTCCTTTTAAAGCTGCTTTTTTGTTTTATTAAGAAAACTAGTATTTATTCCTTATCTCCCACATTCTGAATTTGTCAGATTGTTTCTGTGTGGTGTCATCTAACTTGTAGTTAGTTCTATGCTGTAAATACTGGTCCTCATATTTTTGGATATATGTAGGTTCACATTCTCTGACAAAATGCTTCATGGTTAGGGCTGTCTACTTACTGCTACTCGACCGTGAGATAGGCTTAATGACTGCTGCTATCTTTTTGGGAGAGAGAAAGATGATCTGTCCATTTAGATATTGTCCTGATCTGCCCATTCCACTTTTTTTCTTGTCATGTTTTCTCATAATGTATTTTAATGCCAATTGGTTACTGCTGCCTAGGCCTGCTGTAACATTAGAGGCTGTACACTAACAATTTCAAAAATTCTATCATTGGTTCTTAATTTATTTTGTCCGGCATTCTCCTGAAAAGAATGATTTCATAATTTTTCTTGGGGATTATTCATGTTACAGGAATCATTTATGTAAAAAAGAAAAGTGTAAAGGCAAATGTAAAAACCAAGATGTCCACATGCTTCCCTTCCGTTCAACATCACATCAGAGACTCTAACCAGGAAAATTAAAATATAAAAAGATATCCAGATCGGTCAAGGAAAAGGTAGATTGCTTCTGTTAATAAATGGAACAATACTGTATATACAACATTTTGCAGACTTCGAGTCCAAAAAATTAAGACTAATAAAGTTCTGCAAGAGGGTAGAATACAAAAAGCCAACTGTATTTATACTCATTGCTAATGAAAAGCCAAAAATGAAATCCAGAACATAAGTGTGTTTAAATAGCATTAAAAAAAAAAAAAACCACAATAGTGGGGCCAGTGTTGTGACAGTGGATTAAGATGTTGCTTGTATCGCCAGCACCCCATATTAGAATGTTAGTTTGAGTCCTAGCTGATAGTACTTTGCTCCAGCTCCCTAGTAGTAGTCCTGGAAAGGAAGTCAATGACTTCCTAAGTAATTAGGCCTTTGCTCAAGTAGATGGAGTTCCAGGTACCAGGTTATGGCATGATCTGGCTTATTGTGGCCTTTTTGGATATG